GGAGTAACAAAAGGACACGTCAATACAAAGTCGGATCTGTAGGTATTCTCAGCAGCCTGGGCTGCTACAGCCTGCTAGAACAGGATGTGGGATCACCTCGATGCAGAAAAGACGGCAGTCATCTCGGATCACTCTGGGAACCATAAGCAATACTGAGAAGTGTAAGCGCAGTAAAGGAACTTGACGCCATACTCTTGTTAAGTAGATCAGAGAGAAAAGTACAGACTGAAGGAGCAGGGGCCAAAGGCTCTTACTCTCATCACCAAACCGTGACTCTCTGGTGAGGCAGAAACTAAATTGGCCAATTTGCCACTGTCTAATACAGAGTATTAATAATATCGACTCTCTCTCTGGCTTGGGGTTAAGATCAGCAAATAAAAACAACTACAGCATGCAGCAGTGTTAAAGCAGGGAACTGTTCCTAAAAACAGTTAGGAATTGCTTGCTGCCCTGTGACTTTTAAACTTAAAAAAAAAAAGTTTGAGTTTCCCAGAGACTAAGCAATGTTAACAGAAAAATTTAAGACAGCTATAGAATACAATCTCCAAGACCTCAGAGGAAAACTACTACTGCATACTTGGCATGACCTCCCTCCCCCTTCCCCACAGACACAGATTCCTTTAACACTCCTTCCAAGGAGTCATCATAGCACTTTTGCTCACTGAAAGATGAAGCTATTTTGGTCCTTCCACAGGCTGCCAACCTAGGACCTGGAGACATGCCTCCTCCCAGCTGTTCCTAACCTGTCCTGCTATCTGAGCAACTGCTGAAGGACGCTTGAGGCCACAGCACAGCATGGATGGGTGAGGCCACACCACAGAGAGCCTCCCAGCTTAGCCCTCCTCTCATGATTGGGTAGCATGTTGCTCTCCATGACAACCCAGGAGTCTGATTCTGAGGGAAAGATCTGTCCCCGAAGCTCTGCAGCCTTTTGTACTGTGTAACAATGGAGTCCACATTCTCCATGTTTTCTCTGGAAACCATGGGTCACTTTGTAATGGTAAAATTCTCAATGGAGAATACGTTGTCTAACTGGAGAGGCCTGTCCAACCCTTCAAGAATGACCATCACATTGTGGATTAAATAACCAGTTCTGATGACTGATGCTCTGAGGGAAAGGGGAACAAGTTCAATTTCATGCTTTTGTAAACACCAGTCCCCCAAATGATGGAGAAGCCTAAATAAGCCTTTAAAACTGCAATGTGCACACATTCTCATTAAAGAGGACACCAAAAGGGAGAGCAGAAGTACGGTAGCTGGAGTTGTATGTCATTACTACAGTCCTAAAATGCTAACACTGGAGTTGTCAAAGCTTGCTGTAGCCACACAGATAACGGCTTTATTGATGGCATGCTTTCCCTATGGCATGTAGTTTTGTCTCCTGAATATGGAGACACAATCAGCCTCTGGGTTCACTGTCTAAGTGTAGACAGTAGACATTGACAGGGGAGTCCAGCTCAGAACCTGACTAGAAAGCCCAGGAAAGGTGGTCTCCAAAAATGGAAAAGAGGTGTTCACTGTATGAAACTTATAGACAGTCACCATACAATAACCCTGACCCTAAGCAGGAGTATTCCAAAAGGAATAAAGAGTGACAGTCTCACAATAAACAGAGGAGCAGTCCACAAGACATTCCAGGGATTTCCTTTCGTTTGTAATCCCAATTCCCCCACCACACTGTGCTCTGCATCACACTCTTGAATCCTGCTGTAGCTCCCTTAGGAGCAACCGGCACCCTGCGGGGTCCTTCATGATCGCCCTGCTCCGGGCAAGGCCCATGCTGCCTTCACAGAGCTGCCTTCTGCCTCCATCTGGAGCTTGTGGCCTCCCAGCTCAGGACAGGCAGCTCCCACACATCATACTCACCACTGGGGCAACCTCGCTTAGCCTTCGTGTCAGTAAACAGGGCTACAAAGCTAACGCCTAGGAATGCTGTCAGCGACAGTAAAGGCAGGAAATCTTCCCCTCTTAAAGGGCAGCAGAACAGTAAACTGAAATCCTCTGCTTGGGAGAAAAGTGTTAGGAGCCTGGCTGTTTTAAAAATTGGCAGAGGATATGGAAGCTCTTAAGTCAAAAGAATAAGCGCCACCCCAGACTCTGGCCGCTGAATGGCCTCTGTGTCAGCTGCCGTTGGCTGACTGTTCCTGCACCACATAACCTTCACTTGCTGCTGCTTTCTGACCTCACCGCATACCGGGTGCTGATGATACCAAAATACAACAGAAATGCCCTGCTCCCCAACCCTGCTCTCCAGACAGCCTGTTGGGGCCTGCCGAATCTTCTCACCCACCTCATCTTGATGGGGATCCAAGGGACTGACTGCACCTAATCTTTCATTTGGAGACAGAGTACCTATCAATCATGTGCTTGTCTTCCTTCACAGGGCAAGCTGGAATAAGAAGAGAAAGTGTTTGTATGAAAAGAGCACAAAGATAGAATACTTCAAAGGCCACAGAAAGAAGCAGGCCTAAGACCAGGCAAAGGAACCTATAGCTCGCAAGGCCTCAGGGGAGGCCCTCAACCTTTTGTATTTTGCACCTCTGTTAAGTGGGTGTGGGAACCCCTTCTCCAAACTGGTTTTTCACAACTGAAATCAATTACACTGAAATACAACTATCAAGATACTAAGAGGTTCTGAGATAAGGCAACATATGTGCTGCCTCATTAGTGCGTGGAACCCCAGAGCCAGAACCAGGTCTAATTACCGGCTTCTGAGCTGCCATGAGTGCTTTTCAGAAATCTGCTACAAATGTGATACAGTTAAAAAAAATCAATGACTTTAATTGGTGAGAAAGACAAATGCTGCAAATAGTGCAGGCATCTGTCATCTACACATAACGGAAGCAAATGCTAAGACACTAAAATGTGCTTTTTATGCTAACCCAATTTGCAGATCTCTATAAAATGTTCTCTGCTGACTCCGATATAGAAAGTAGCAGGAAGTGTGGCTTCTCTGGCAGAAGCAAAGGGCCTGTGGCAGCACAGCTGGGTTTCTCCCACTCTCTGGTCCTCATCCCCCTCCCCATGCCCCAGGAGCCAGAAGGCACCTCCTAACAGAGTGTATTACAGACCACAGGACAGAGTGTATTACAGACCACAGGGAGCACGTGTGTTGAGCTCTCGGGCTTGTTTCCCCAGCTTCCCAGACAAACCACACCCATCCCATGAAGCCTCTGCCTCAGGTCCTTCCTACTGTGTCAATTTTTACCTTTTTGATGCCTCACTTCAACTGAAGCATCTCTGCAACACCAAGACATGGAATTGTTAGCATGCCCTGTCTTCCAAGTGTTGACTCTCACATAGCTTCAATCTTCCCGCTGTCTGAATCACTTTTATCCTGGCTTATTTTCCCTTCAGATGCAGGGTATCACTGTTTTGGATTTTTGTGCACGCATAGATTGCCTTAAACACCCACTGTGTGCTGTGCTGTGGTAACTACGGCACCCACTCCTTTTCCTCCATGCTTCCTTTTCTACCCTAAGCAGAGGACTCCAGTGTGGCTGGCTCCCAGAGAGCAGTGCATGGCCCACACCAAATGTCCAGATGTCCCTTCTGCTGTCCCAAAAGTAGCCTTTCTACAATGATTGTTGGTACCCCAAGATGCTGGAGTTCCCAAGCTTTCATGTCTGTGATGTCTAGATATTTTAAATGTTCTCTAGGGATGAGAAGATGAGAAGGCAAGTGTGTGCCACAAGTCCTGGAACCTGCTGGTATCCATGCCCAGATTCTATGGCAGAAAGTCCATCAGCTCTCCACTGGTCAATAAAACTATGATGGTGGCCACAGGCCATGGCAGGGAAGGACGTAAGCCTATACTACAGGTAGCAATAAGCTTTACTCTAAGCTAGTGCTTCTCAACCTGACTAACGCTGTAATCCTTTAATGCAGCCCCCCATGTTGTGGTGAACCCCAACCATAAATTTATTTTCATTACTACTTCATAAATATAACTTTGCTACTATTATGAATCATAATGGAAATATGTGTTTTCTGATGGTCTTAGGTGACCCCTGTAAAAGGGTCACTTGATCCCCAAAAGGCACAACCCATAGGTTGAGAACCACTGTTCTAAGTGATGGAACTCCCCTCATGGAATAAGAAATGCTGCCTGCAGGCAGGACAGCCGGAAGCTGTGGGCAATTTAAGATTAAGAAGTTGCTTGATATTCATGTTAGGCATGTGACTTTTTGGTCATTCTGAGAGGATAAAAGTCACTCTGTAAAGATCTTAGCCACAACAACCAGAGAAGGCCTACCTAGTAGAAGTACCACAGAGTATCAGGTCTCTGGTGTCCACGTGTCCAAGCTCTACCTCTGATTTCAGTTACTCAAGAGAAACTCCAAGAGTCCATAGTTCCTGACTTTCAATTTTCACAAACATTTTTCTAAGGCCTTAGTATGTTTGTGTATATTCTCTGAAGCTGGGAAGCAGAAGTCATTTAGACAATGAGTAAGCATCATTACCACTATCTTTGTACAGGTTACCCAGATTCTTAAACACAAAAAAGGATCTATGATGTCACAAGAATGTTTAAAAAAAAAAGCTGAGAAAAGCAGCTAATTTTCTTGATAATGAACAGAATTTAAAAAATGATTTCTTGCTGGGCGTTGGTGGCACACGCCTTTAATCCCAGCACTCGGGAGGCAGAGGCAGGCGGATCTCTGTGAGTTCAAGGCCAGCCTGGTCTACAGATCGAGTTCCAGGACAGCCTCCAAAACAATACAGAGAAACCCTGTCTCGAAAAACCAAAAAAAAAAAAAAAAAAAAAAAAAAAGTAAACCACAAGATGTCAAATTACAGCAGCATGGTCATGAATGGAGCAAGGGTCTTACACATGGTCTACATGGAAACAGAATCCAGCAACTACATGAATCTTCTGCTAATGCTCTGGGCCACATGCTACTGGGTTCAATCACACACACACCCCTTAGTACTACAGAAGAAAAACAAACAGCCAGTGTTAGAAGCGGGTGTGAAGCAGAGGTAAGGGGCGAGCTTACTTGTAAAGATAGTACTCTGCAGAATCTATATCTTCTCTAGACGAAATGTTGTCCACAAACTAAAGGGAAAAAAAGTTTTGGTTAAATATATATTATGCCATATGTTTGGTTGAGTTCATACACTGATCCTTAAAAGACATGTACTCTTCTTATTGGAACGATGTTCCATTAGTATGGCTCCATCCTGAAAATACTTCATACTGGTGAGAACAAATCATACAACACAGCTTGTCTTCTATGTATAGAACAACTCTGGTTCAAAACAAAACAGAACAATAAAGCACCAAGTAAAAGCCAAACATGAACCCTGCTCATATAAGACGAACAAGGTGCGAGTTTTTTTTATAGTACTATTTACAGTTATCATTACCTTTATCTCTGTCTTTACATCTCATCCTCCAAATACATGGTTGAAATGGTGCAGACTCTTAGGCTGGAACAATATTGTTCAGAACATAAAAACCTAACGTAGAGAATTCAGTGTGTAACCACTTTCACTCTGGTTTTAGTGTTGATATGGAACAACTGTTTTAGGATTGAAGGCTCCCTTCAAGCTATAGCATCTACTAAGCATTGGGCCTGGGGATGCAGCTCATTGGTGGAGAGCACTTGACTAACATTCATGAGGCCGTAGGTTCAATCTCCAACACTTGAGAAAAAAAATGAAAAAAATCTGCAAGTATGTTCCTTACCTATTATCAAAATGAGCAGAAAATATTACCCAAGGATGGATTCTGCCCTCAAGTGGGAAATCAGAAGCAGGAAGATAGAGTAAGAGCCCAGGCGTGCGGACAGTGTAGAACCTCATGAAGAGAGAGAAGGGAAGAAGGGGAGACTTTCTAAAAATAACCAGGACCGTGGGTTTGATTTAGAAATCCACTAAGGGCAGATAACACGTGGTGCAAACACAGGCCCTGAGCTTGAGAAGCGGCTCTCCTGATGGCTTGCTGTGGCGCAAACAGATGGCACAGCCCCTCTGGGACTTATTGCTCCATCTGTATAAACAGCTACAGGCTTCCGCCCTGCGGAGCTTGAGTCTCAGACTGGAACATGCACACAAAAGCTCTCTCAAGTTCCAAGTGCTGCCTAAACAAAAATCAGACGTTACAGCCCGCAGAAGGCTGGCCACCCTGAAAACAATGGCCTCCCAATTCTTCTCCTGCCTGCTGGACATGAATCCCTCAAATAAGTGATGACATTTGAACTGTTTCCCTATTAAGAGGGCAAAAGGCACAGAGAAAGGATCAGGACTGGAAGGAAAGTTTCTTTCCTTCCCCTTGTCCAGATTTAATACCTCCTACTGGAGGATCCTGCTCACTTCCGGTATCATAACCTGAAATCACCATGGAGACCAGACCAGGTACATTTGATAGGGGCAACAGAGGTGGACTTTGATGTCCCAGTCTTTCTGCTTACAAGCTGTGCGAATGTGGAGTTCCCTCGTCATTTGTACCTCACAAACACCATGCCCCTCACAAACGCACACGCATGACGGTGACAGAAAACTAAAAGAGCGCCTGCCATGGAAGTGCTCTGGAGAGGCTCCCACCAGCTCCTACTCCCGACTGCCGCCGGCCTGACATTCGTTCTCCCCACTAGCTAGCGGCAGTCAGTTCAACATTGGTACCCACTGTTTCATAGCTAGTCGGCTACTGAAAGTATGTTTACTATTCTTACACTGAAGATAGATTAGCTTTAAAAACACATTATAGTGTAACCAGATGAAAACTAAATCAGTGACCGCTAACTTGAGTCTGGTATATTTATTTCCTTTCCTTTCAGCCACTACATCATAAAGTATCTACTGGTAATTATAAAAACATACTATACTGGGGGAAGATGGTTCCCATGGTTACTATTATTTCTACAACACAGCCTTGTCTATAGTCTTGCTTGTTTCCTTCTTTGAAAATGTGTTTGAAATGTTCTCACCTGTGATACTGCTAAAGAACTAACAGCCAACTTTCTTTTACAAAGGTCTTACCCGTGATATCGATAAAGAGCTAACAGGCAACTTCCTTTCATAAGCTTTGTCCATTAAGGATGCAAGATCAGCTGTAAGACAAAGGAGAAAGAACCTTGTTAAACACACACATTTCTCCAGAAAAATTCCCAGATCCGACTTCTGCCAGATGGCCGCACACATTACAAAGTCAGTATCAAAACAGATGCTCACTCTTGCTCTTTTTCAGATACTGAGGACAACTGACATTAGTTAGTCACAATTTTAAATGATTTGTTGAACTAGAGAATGTAAAATAATAATTAAAAAATACAAATTTAGCTCTTAAAAGTGGATCAATAAGGTACCTCTGTAAGTAAACACAAAGTATTACATTTGTCAGACTCCAAAAAAAGAAACTCGAGATCGGGCAGGTGCAGTTAACCTGTCACTATAAGGATCCAGGCATTATGCTGGCCTGTCCCTGTCACCTGGAAGAATGCACTCAGGCAGTACCCCAGTCAGCCCAGGTGCAAAGGACCCCTTTAAAAGAAAGACCCCTGCCCACTTCCAAACTCTCTTTGCCGGCTCCTCTCTTTCTGCTCTCTCTTTCCCGCTCTCTTCCCTATGGTTCCCCTTTTCTTCTGTCCTCCCTCTGTCTCTGTGTCGATTTACCTCTCCCCCATCTTCCCCCCCACCCCCTTTCTAATAGAACTTCTCACTTAAGCTGCCTGGCATGTTTGTCCCTCGCCTTGCCTTGGTCAACCTTTCCTGACATGGAATCCGCCAAGGTACCACACACAAAATTCCCCTTACGCCTTATCGTAACAGTCACCATCGCTGACTCCCCAGAGGTGTACAGCAGTCAAATTTACGTTAGCACTCTAAAGGTTTTGTAATGGCCATTTACAAAGGGCCTTCAGATATTTCTGAACAAAGAAAGCAGAATTCCCTTGACTATCTCCTTCCTGATTAGTAGCCTCCACCACCCAGGTGTTGGCTCCTCTCAATAGAACACCAGTAAGAACACTTGGAACTTGTGATGTCACACTCACCCTAAGATACCTGTGATCCTGGACAACACACATTCCAAATGGTTTATGTCACATCATACCACTGCTTCTCAAACTTACAATATTTTCTAGCTCCCCTCATTCTCTGCTCATGATTCAATCCTATTTCACTAAAAGTTATCTAAAGAACATCATCCTATCAGATCTACCAGGCCGTGACCTCTGTGCCGAGACACCCTGCCTTCTAGGGATAAATGGTATAAACAACAAAAACTCCCCATGCTCTCGTTATCCTCACAGTCACTTCTTTCTTCTGTGCCCCTAACAGCAAGCCTCTCCCAGACTCACCCGACAGGACAGTTAGTATTTCCAGGCTCTCTCAGATTTGGGTTTCTAACACTGATGCACACCTCCAGATTGCTAAACCCAGTGGTTAAGTTTCCATTCTCATTTTACTTGAGCTCTCTCTTTAGCCAGAGCTATTCTTAAGGAAATGTTTGTCCTCTCAACCCCACCCCTGTATTGAAACAGGTGGCTACAGCATCTAGAAAACCCACAAACAGATCCTTAAAACCCCTTCCTATTAGGGGACCAATATTGTCGAGTATAGTTAGTTGCTCATAATTAGATACCAAACAGTTCTCTCAAGTCTACACTTATGGCCACTCTTACATTAATGATCAGTATGAGGAATCACTTCCCTTTATTGAAAATGTCTACTGTATTCAAGCAAGCAAGCAAAGACAGGATCAGGAGCTACTGGCCTAACTGAAATGGCCAGCAAGCACCCTTCCCTTGTCCTTTTCACGGTACGCACAGCATCTCACTCATCACAGGACTGAGACAGCTTCGTTGGTCACCTCCAGGCATAGTAACCAGATTCTATCTGAAGCCTTCACACCCAGGCATCTTCAGTCAAGTGGAATTGGCCAGGGCTTCAAAAAAGGCAAGAGCTGCCAAGCCCTCATCTGATGAATAGCATTTACATACTGCAAGTCAGAAAGGTTTGCTGCAAACACACTATGGGACCAATCACCTTGCCTTACAGCGCTGTTGTGATGGATGAGGCAGAAAACAGCCAAGGGCGGGAGGACTAGGACAGCGGGACAGCTGCAGCATATGGAGGGCCAGCACCACAGGCTTCTGGACCGTGGCCTTCCACAGCCAAAGTCACACTTCATGCACGAGTGAGGGCCAACAGATGCCCGAGTTCTGTTCAAGGGCCTGTGCCAAAGACGCTGTTTTGCTGGGTCCTCAGCTCCCCAGGAATACACACTGAAGCTGAGGGCTGTGGACAACACGGACTATGGGAAAATGGACCAGAAGTAAGAATTCTTCATTTAGCAGGAGTTCAACTACAGAACATGGAAACATGTTTAGAAGATGAAACACAGGACAGTAGTAAACTGTTCTTGTTTGAAGATAGCAATAGCACCAAGGATCTAAGGACATAAAAGGTTTTAGTGAGGACCCTGGCTTTCTATAATGATGGTGTGAACTCCCTAAAACTGTAAGCAGGATTGCGGTGGAGGCAGAAGGATCTCTGAGTTTGAGGCCAGCCTGATCTACAGAGCAAATTCCAGGACAGTCAGGGCCGCACAGAGAAACTTGCCTGGGGTGGGGGCACAACATAAAAACGTTTAAAAACAAAAACAATCCTGTGAGGTTCCAGGCCTCCCACCCAGAGTAAGAGTCATATTCTATAGGTTTGCCGTAAACCAGGGGCATCCAGGTCTGTCAGCAAGAGCCAGCAGCTGGAGGTGCAGGCAGTTGAGAAGAATGTAAAAGAGGGAGGAGGCAGGTTTCAGAAGCTCAAAGAAGATGCTAAGTAGAATTTATCTCTGGAATAAGATGAACTATATTGTCTTAGCCACCCTTCTTACCAAAAAATAATGCACTTAAATAGTAATTGTTTTCACATATACAACTGAGCTTTGAAAAAGGTAGGTATAATTGCCAGGGCACACAGACATTCACACGTGGAGGGCTGAGGGAATAATTACTGTGGCACTCTCCCCATGGCATTGGGGAGACCCTGTGGCATAGACCCTTGGTTTTAATAATGGGCAGTATCAGAGGGCAACAAGATGAAGCTGGTTAGGGGGCTCTCGTCAGAGTCTGGAGCTGTATTTGTACTGAAAAGAGAAACTGGAAAACAATGCCTCTATAAACAGGACTGCTGCTCTCTGAGAATTTTAAACCACAAGTCACCTCTGAAGCCTCTGAAACCTTCAAAATATGCCAAGCTAAGGATATTGCTCAAAGGGGTATTCTTTTACACAGAATCTAAAAATAGCTAACTAATCTAAAGGATAAGAAGCATAGCAACCATTGCTTGGGGGCCTGAGTGTGGAGCAGAAAGAAGGGAACAATTTTAAGAGACTAGAGAAAACTGCCTTTGGATAGTGATAGGACTGTGATGTGTAAGGTCATGTACAGCTTCATATCCGTCAAAACTTATTAAACCGTGTGCTTTAGGTATGGTTTGGTTTTATGTAAATACTGCAGCAAAGCTCAAATGAAAGGGACAGATAGGAAAAAACAGGCATAGTACTGATGTCTATAATCCTAGTACCCGGGAGTCTGAGGCCAGACTATACTGCACATCATGAGCTTGTCTCAAAAAGCAAGCAAGCAAGCAGCAAGCTCAGGGGCAGGCTAGACATAAATGAGAACCAGTGGATTTGGAATGTACAAGGCAATGCAACAAGCAACTTTCAGGAAAAGAGAAACGCAGCGTTTTAACCATCAAGGACTCCAGAAGCAGCCTCTCCAGGGCCGGCGGGCGGCGCCAAAGACGCCACACCGGCTGCCTCACCAATGGGGGCCACAGGAGCAAAAGCCTCATATCGGCCCTCCTCTCTCCACCAATCAGCGAGCCGGACCCGAGCAACTCACGGCCCGCCCATACCGATGTCCAATCACGGCGCTCCACATGAGCGCGCGCTTCCTGATAGGTCCGCGCCCAGCGCAGAAGGAAGATCATTTCTCGCAAGGACCACACTGCCATCTACTGCCTGGTCAGCGGAGATGCAGCCACAGGAGCACCCGGAGCAGGCAGCCTCCCTGCAAGCAGTCATGCCACACACAAGAAGTGCTTGTATGAACCAGAGGCGGCAGCAGTTACTTTCTGCTACACAATGGGAAAATACAGTCTTCTAGCAGTCTGAATACCAAACTTCATTTCACATCAAATATTATATCCAGGGGCCGGCCAGGGACTCATTCCACTTATTTCTAAGCTGAATGTTTAGGAACTAAGGCAGACACCACACACCCCCAATCTATAGCTATAGATATGGACAGAGACAACTGAAAGTGGTAGACGGGGACACAAACTCAGATGCCAGTCTCTTAGGTGCAGAACCCACATGACACTTCTTAAGAAAGGCACAGGAGGAAAACATACAAGGCAGTGGTGGCCCATGCTTTTGATCCCAGCACTCAAGAGGCAGAAGCCATTGGATCTCTGTGAGTTTAAGGCTAGCCTGAAACAGAGTAAGTTTCAGGACAGTCTGGGCTACACAAAGAAACCCTTTTTCAAAACAAAGTAGGAGGCAGAGGGGCAACAATGACAGAAGGTGTTCGGTAAACAGTAATTTAATCTGCTTTTCCAAGTATTGCTCTTAACACAGGACGCACAATTGCTCCCGTGACATTTATGTCACAGACTATCATCCTCATTCTTTGGTAAGTAACTTGTTTATTCATGTAGCCAGGACAAAGATCCCTGGATTTGTGTTCATATAATAGATCTAACTATACCTAACACAAGACACAAACAGTGGCTGTCTCCATTTCCTCATCTTTTCTTCATACCTAGGAAAATGTTTAGAAGTTTTCCCAGAATGCACCATTCCTCTATTTGTATTTCCATAGCATTGTGGAGAATTCATGTATGGCACAATCTTTCTAAGTCTGAAGCTGCACTGGGATTATTACTAGTACAGCGGCTTCTAAAGAGGTGAATCACTGACTTCAGAGGGCGTCTCAGCAGGTGTGTAGGTTATTTATGGCGTCCACAATGACTGGAAGGCATAGCTGATACTTTGTGGAAAGAAGACAGACAGCTGGTATAGCATGCAATGCTGTGACTCTCCCCACAAAGCCCTGCCTCGGCCGGGAGCCAAGGTCTAAGCAGAGAAGGGAGATCACGGCAAGGCCAGGGGAAAACCCATGCAGATGGGTGGAGAGCAGAGGTACTGGTGTGAAACTTAGCATTTCTGGGTAAGGATCAAGTGACATTCAACACCCAGATCCTGCCTCTAATACACTCCCCACTATAAGGAGTGAGAGCTCCCAAGACAGGGCTGAGTCCAGGACTAGGGAAGGGAAGGTACAAGATAAGCCTACAACACACTGCTAAGTGAGTAAGAAGCAATGGTGAGAATGAGAATATCGAAGCTAACTGGAAAGCATTTATACTAGCCAGCCAGGCATGGGACACTGGACTTCCAAGTAGTGATAGCAATGAACCACTAAAAACATCCCACCAATAAATCCACAAGATGTCAACATAATTAATGCGTGACAGATAAGTGAGAACCACAACAGGAAAAAGGTCTGTTGCCTAAGGAGAACACTGAGTGCCGAACAGTAAGAGGAGGGGTTGGGGGAGTTGGAAAATCATTCATTGCAGCCTTCACAGTATAGACTGACTCAGGCCAGAAGCATGAATGGGGGAAAAAAATCCAAGGGCAAACTTGAGAAGCAGCAGGAAATCATCATTATGTTAAATGTCTCCCTACTTACAGGCTGCTAGTCAAGAGGGAGGGAAGCCAGTCAGGGTTGCAGTGGAGAATCAGATGCACATGACTACAAGATGGAAGCCGACACAGCTAGTGGAGGCAGACAGACAGACATCCCTGTGTCCAGATGACACACCCTGACAGCCACAACATCAAAGAGCAGTCTGGCTGGGGAGGCGAAACAGGAACCTACCATAAAGATAAGAACAGGGTAGCACAGATGGATGGGGGGCTGGAGAGGTGGCTCATCGGCTAAGAGCACTGGCTGCTCTTTCAGAGGTCCCAGATAAATTCCCAGCACCCACATGGCAGCTCACAACCGTGGAACTCCAGTTCTATGGGATCTGACACCCTCACATAGGCACATATGCAAGCAAAGCACTAATGCACATAGACTAAAAGTGAATAAATTATTTAAAAAGGAAAGATAACAGCATAAGAAATAACTTCATATTAAAGAAGACTTGATTTAAATGCAATGTGAACGGATGGTTCCTGTATTGGAGGAGGAAAAAATGTGATAAAGGACATTTTTAGAGTCAAATGACAAAAAAGATAGGGAAAGAAGCATTGACTAATGAACTCCATAAATATGCTATGGCATATAATATGTTGGGTAATGCATGCTGAAGAATGTAAGATAGAGATTTATAATGCGTGAAACAAACTCAGATAATTAAAAAATAGCATGTGCACACCTCTTTGAAAGGGACACAATAGGTTTTACACACACAGGCTCACACATGTGCACACCACAAAACGAGAAAGCAAAAACAAATTTATCAAAATGGTAACAGAAAGTGACTATGGGCAAAGGGTAGGGAGGAACTTGCTAGTTTTCTGAGTCAACAACACTTCCAGGGGTTAGATATAATTCAGTAAGAGTGCTTGTTGCACACACATGAAAACTTGAGTGTGAATCCCCATCACCCATATAAAAACAAAAAATGGCCTATAATCCCATTACTGGGGGGCTGGGGTACTTACTGATGGGAAGCTTGTGTTTGTTGGTGGTTAACTCACCTCCAAGTTGAGTGAGAGATGTTTTTACTACTTTAAAACCTGTTTCTAATTAACAGAACTAATTTTATTTTACATATAAACACAAAGTACTTCTTTCATAATTAAAAATAAGCTGCATTTCAATGCATCTTCAATGCAAACTGACTAAATACAGACTTTTAAGTTATCCAGCGCCTTACCCAAAACTGTTCATTTTGTAAATAAAATTGTCATTCTACAGCCACTTGCCGTGTCTGATTTTGCCTGTACAGTACATCTGTGACCACGCCCACTGTCCTTTATGTCAGTAGCTGTGCACTCAGAACGCAAGCGTGTAGCTCCTTCTGACTCCTCAGTAAGGCCTAAACAGCTCATTACATTTTGAAACACTACTATACACCAAATTATTTCATTTTTGTTTCTATTTATATCATGGTAATTATGTAAATTTAAAAGTATTATGTATAGGAACATTATATTAGCTTTGAATTTAATTTCAAGACACTATACAGTGCTGTTTAACCCTTTAAAGCAAGAGTCAAACTGTGAACTCCCTATGCAGAGCTTGATCACTCACTTTCACCCCTACTCAGCTCTGCTTTGGCTGGTCCTGTCTACACACCCATTCCAGAGCTGCTGGCTAACCCTGCAACTCACATTCTCAGGGAAGACCATGATCATTCTTAACATCCCAAAGGTAGCCAGAGCTGTCATCTACCTGCCTGCATTGAAGACTCCATCACAAAGAGGGCTTTGCTCTTACTAACAGCAGCACAAGGGTGGGGTGATGTTAGGTCAGTCCTGGAACTCACGTGCTCGACACCAGTCTCATCGCTCACCTCCGATCTATTCACTCTGCGGTGTCCTGACCATGTCCTATCTATTACAGGACAGCCAGAAGTCTGCTAGTACATTTGCAAAATGTGCTTGTGGGGTCAGTGACTTCTTTTAAGCCCTGATAACGTAGACAAGAAAGGCCACTATCTGTGAACTGTGACAAAGAAAGAAGGGGAATAGGAGGCAAACATGAGCTTACTCCTGGGAAGATGTTCACTGTCTTCTCATGGCTTCCATGAGAAGATCTGTCACTTAGTAATGATAAGTTAAGAAAATAATGGGATTGAAAATTTTTAAAAAATAGTATAAGGTATAAAATTCTGTAAAACAGAGACAGGCTGCATGAAACTACATGAGCAAAAAGCAAGATTTGCTCACACAACCTCAGCGTGTGATCATCAAGGCAAATATCACTAAGACAGGATGAGGAATGTAGTGGGCAGCAATGGTGTGCCAAGTGTGAACATAATTCTTTTTAGGTCTTAAGATGCACTTCTGTAAGCAACAGTATCTTTTCAGGTATGCTTCATGGGAGCACATGATGTGAGACACGTGGAGTGACCGTGAATGACAGGATAGAAGGCGGCACCTACCCAGGTGGCACTGCTCCTTCTCTCTTGCTTCCCACTGGTGGCTGTCCATGTACGCTGCAGAAAGTAGGCATCTTTTACCTGAGGGAAAAGACAATCATCTCAACAGGCATGTTGTTTAAAAGATCCACTTTGGCAAATGGATAGCACTAGAAGAAACCATCCTGAGTGAGGTAACCCAGTCACAAAAAAACAAACATGGTATGTACTCACTCAGATATGGATTTTAGACATGGAACAGGGGAGTGCTAGCCTACAATCCCACTGCCAGAGAGTGTGGTAAACAGGAAGGACCCTAAGAGAGAAATGCATGGTACCCTAGAGAAGGGGAAAGGTACAAGATCTCCTGAGCAGATTGGGAGCATGGGGGGAGAGGGGGAGCCAAGAAAAAGAGAGGGAGAGAAGAGGAGGGGAGAGGACATGGGGGAGCAGGAAGGTTGAGTTGGGGGAAGAACAGAGGAGAGCAGGATGAGAGATACCATAATAGAGGGAGTCATTCTAGGTTTGAGGGGAGATCTGGCACTAGTGAGATCTCCAGAGATCTACAAGGATGACACCAATTGGCAAGCTAAGCAATAGTGGAGAGACTACCTTAAATGCCCCTCCCTGATAATGATTTTGATGACTATCTTACATACCATCCTAGAACCTCCATCCAGTGACAGACACAAGCAGAGGCAGACACCCACAGCTAAACACGGAACTGAACTTCTGGAACCCAGTGACAGCGAGGGAGGAGTGATGAGCAAAGGGGTCAAGACTGAGCTGGTGAAATCCAGAGAAACAACTGACCTGAACAAGTGCTGAGAGGCCAATATGGGACTTATCCAGAACCCCTGAATGTGGGTGTCAGTGAGGAGACCTAGGCAATCTACGGGGCTTTGGGTAGTAGATCAGTATTTATCCCTGGCTCACAAATGGACTTTGGGTGCCCATCCCACAATGGGGGATGCTCTCTCAATCTGGACACTTGGGGGAGGACCAAGGCTCTCCCCAGAACGAAATGACAGACTCTAGAGATCCCCCATGGAGGGCCTTATCCTCCCTGGGGAATGGAGTGGGGATTGGGTGGGGGTCTGGGGGGCTGGTGGGGGTGAACGGGCGTGGAGGGGAGGGAGAGGGACCTGGGACTGACATTTGAAGCAAGCTTGTTTCTAATTTAAATGTATAATTTTAAAAAAGTGTTTAAAAAAAGATCTGCTTTACTGAATACGACTTCTATTGTATTTGCAATCTCTAGCTTATGTATTTTTAATAAAAATTCTGTGAGTACTGCACAGTTCACAACAAAATGCAGAAAAATCTGAAAAACTCCTCAGCAATTTTATTCGTAAAAATGTTGGTATTTTTAACCTATTAATGTTAAAACTGAAAGTTATTTATACACTTAAATTACAGCCCAGGTTTTCAGGGTCTTTTTTTTTTTTTTTTTTTTTTTTGGTTTTTCGAGACAGGGTTTCTCTGTATTGTTTTGGAGGCTATCCTGGAACTAGTTCTGTAGACCAGGCTGGTCTCGAACTCACAGAGATCCGCCTGCCTCTGCCTCCCAAGTGCTGGGATTAAAGGCGTGCGCCACCAACGCCTGGCAAAAGTTTATTAATTTATTTATTTTGGTTTTTCGAGACAGGGTTTCTCTGTAGCTTTGGAGGCTGTCCTGGAACTAGCTCTCGTAGACCAGGCTGGCCTCGAACTCACAGAGATCCACCTGCCTCTGCCTCCCAAGTGCTGGGATTAAAGGCGTGCGCCACCAACGCCCGGCCTTCAGGGTCTTAAAAATCCTTCATAGACCCCAAATAACCTGCAGAACTATTGCTAAGTCATTAACTAGATGTTATAGTTATCAATCCTGAAAACATTTCCATTTGATTCTGATTAACATATTTACCCTTATTTTGCATAAGGAGAAGTATCTTATCAATGACTCAGAGCCCCATGAGGAGATGAAAGCTAAACTGGAACCATCACACAGGTGACAGAGCTCAATTCCTGGTGGCTGGCACAGTGCCTGGCTTCAACAGTACTCAATGAACACTCAATACACATAACCTCCTAGAATAAATGAGGAAGGCCTGATGACAGTCTCAACCAAAGTAAAGGACACTCGCAGGGATGCTAGAAATCTACAACATAGAAAAAAAATAAGTGTACCTTTACAACTTAATAATATAAAACAACCCAACTGAAAAGGTAGGCAAAGGATTTGAGCATATATTTCAAAAAAAGGGGGAGTGGGATGTTCTGGACCTGGTAACACAAGTTTATAATCCCAGTCATTGATTCTCTGGCCTCCACATGGAGACACAGCATATATATGTTCCCCTCTCCTACAAAGTAAATAAATAAATGTAATTAAAATTTTTACTGCTGGGCGGTGGTGGTGCACGCTTTTAATCCCAGCAGTTGGGAGGCAGAGGCAGGCAGATCTCTGTGAGTTCCAGGCCAGCCTGGCCTTCAAAGAGAGTTTTAGGACAGTCTCCAATGTCACAGAGAAACCTTGTCTTGAAAAAAAACCGGGGGGGGGACCTTCTGAAACTGAGAAGCTTTTCTAAGGCAAAGGACACGGTCAACAAAACAAAAAGGCAGCCCACAGAATGGGAAAAGATATTCACCAACCCCACATCTGACAGAGGGCTGATTTCCAAAATATAAAGAACACAAGAAGCTAGTCACCAAAACACCAAATAATTCAATTAAAAAGTGGTCTACAGAACTAAATAGAGAATTCTCAATAGAGGAATTTAAAATGGCTGAGAGACACATAAGAAAGTGCTCAGTTTCCTTAGCCATCAAGGAAATGCAAATCAAAACAACTCTGAGATACCATCTTACTCCTGTCAGAATGGTTAAAATCAAAAACACCAATGACAGTTTATGCTGGAGAGGATATGGAGAAAGGGGAACACTCCTCCACTGCTGGTGGGATTGCAAACTCATACAATTACTTTGGAAATCAGCATAGCGGTTCCTCAGGAAAATGGGAATCAAGTCTACCACAGGATCCAGCAATCCCACTCTTAGGCATATACCCAAAAGATGCACATTCATACAATAAGGATATCTGTTCTATCATGTTTATAACAGCATTATTTGTAATACCCAGAACATGGAAGCAACCTAGATGCCTCTCAACTGAAGAGTAGATAGAAAAAATGTGTTACACTTACACAATGGAGTACTATTCAGAGGAAAAAAAAAAAACAATGGAATCTTGAAATTCGCAGGCAAATGGATGGAACTAGAAGAAACCATCCTGAGTGAGGTAACCCAGTAACAAAAAGACAAAAATGGTATGTACTCACTCATATATGGATATTAGACACAGAGCAAAGGAGTACTAGCCTACAATCCACACCATTGGAGAAACAAGGAAACAAGGAGGACCCTAAGAGAGACAGACATACATGGTCCCCCAGAAAAGAGGAAAGAGACAAGATCTCCTGAGCTAATTAGGAGCGTGGGGGAAGGGGAGAGGGAGTTAGAAGAAAGAGAAAAGGAGAAGTGGAGGGGAGAGGAGGACAGAAGAGAGCAGAAAGATTGAGTCAAGGGAAGAATAGAGGAGAACAAGAAAAGAGATACCATAATAGAGGGAGCCATTATAGGTTTAAAGAGAAATCTGGCACTAAGGAAATGTCCAGAGATCTACAAGGTTGACCCCAAATAATAAATTAAGTAATAGTCAAGAGGCTATCTTAAATGCCTTCTCTGATAATGAGATTGATGACTACCTTCTATGCCATCCTAGAGCCTTCATCCAGTAGCTGATGGAAGCAGAAGCAGACACCCACAGCTAAACACTGAGGTGAACTCTAGAATCCAGTTGCAAAGAGGGAGGAGAGATGATCAAAAGGATCAAGACCAGGCTGGAGAAACCCTCAGAAATAGGGGGTTGTTCATGGACCCCAGACTGATAGCTGGGAAACCAGCATAGGACCCCTGAATGTGGATGTCAGTTTGGAGGTCTGGTTAATCTATGGGGCCTCTGGTAGTGGATCAGTATTTATCTCTAGTACATGAATGGAATTTGCGAGCCCACTCCACATAGAGGGATGCTCTCTCAGCCTAGACACACGGGGGGAAGGTCTAGGCCCTGCTCCAAATGATGTGGCAAACTTTGAAGATTCCCCCATGGAAGGCCTCACCCTCCCTGGGGAGCAGAAAGGGAATGGGATAGGAAGTCAGTGGGGGGCAGGGGAGGAGAGGAGGAAAAGGGAATTGGGATTGACATGTAAAACAAGCTTGTTTCTAATTTAAACTAAAAAGGGGGGGAGAAAGACATCCAAGTTAAGATCAAAAAAAAAAAAAAAAAAAAAGAAAGAAAGGAAGAAGGAAGGAAGAAAGAAAGAAAAATTTAATAGTACAAAAGGGGTTGGGGCTATTACTGACAGAGTGCTAACCCAGCATATGTGAGGTCTCTGTTCAATCCCAATACCACACACACACACACACACACACACACACACACACACACACACACACACACTCACTCATACACATACATACATACACACTACACACACACACTCACTCATACACATACATACATACATACACACTACACACACACTCACTCATACACATACATACATACACACTACACACACACACTCACTCATACACATACATACATACACACACCACACTACACACACACATACACTCATACACATTTCACACACCACACTACACACACATACATACACACACTCTCATACACACTACACACACACACACACACAAAATTGTTCCTCCATTTCTGAGGAATTAGTTCCAGGATTTCCCATGGACACACAAAAAGTCCTGACATAAAATGACATTTTAAAACTGACATAAAGTGATGTAGAATTTGAATATAACAGAGGCATACCTTTCTCAATTTTTAAAATTTCTGCTACAGTAAAAAGCTATTTTGTTTGATTATTTAGGGAATAGTGACAAGAAAGAAAAAAAGCTACATGTTCAGTGCAAGTGTAATTTTTTTAAAAAGTACTTTTTATTTGAGGTTAACTGAATTAAGAAAAATGCAGAACCTGTGACTATGGACAGCTGAATACATGCATACACACACAGTCACCCGCACACACCAAGATGTTTGCCATCACTGGCCAGTAGGAAAATACAAAGCAAAGCTGCCTCTTGAAGACCACAATCTTAAAGCAGAAAATACAGTAATGGGTGAAAACAAAACTGTATACATCACTGGTGAGACAATACTGTGGTGAAGGTGACTGGGAAAAAGGTGGAGCCCCAAGTGTTATCACAATTACCAAGTGACCTTACAATTCTACTCCTAGGTAGCTATAAGAATGAAAACTTAAATTTGCATCACATTTATATACCAACGTTCATGGAAGTATTATTAATAATGGATAAAAAGCAGAAGTGCCTGAAATATCCACAGGTTATATACCAAGGCTTTCTACATCATATTATTTAGCAATTTAAAAATAAGAATATTGAAACATTATGTTAAGTGAAAAGATATCAGTCTCAAAAGAACACATATCATATCCCACTCAAATGAAATATATCCGAATAGGCGAATGTAGAGAGGAAGTAGGTTACTTGTTGCCTAGAACTGGGAATGGGATCTGGGAAAGTGAGAGTATAAGAGATATAGATTTGAGGTGTGATAAAAATATCCTAAGTTGGTTGTAAAGATGTTTGCACAGCTCAGTGTTTCTACTATGAGTCATAACTTTGTCCTTCAATGAGTGAGTTGTATGGCATGTGAATTCAATGAAGGGAAAGCAGCTACCCAGAGATCATAACAGACACACAGGCATGACAACCTGAGCTGTACATCGGAGGAGAATGACGGAAGATGATATCTGCCCACTCCTAGCCTCTACATACATGCACACATACAAGCATGTGCAAAGAAGCACACACGTGTGCATGCACACACACATAAACTTTTTAAAAAATAAAATAAAACAGCACATTCATCTTTGTATAATGCTTTATAGATGTCACAAAGGTCTTTCCATCACTACACTCTGGGGGGGGGGGTCTGTATATTAATGTTACAAGCATAGAACTTCCACAGCCAGGGCAAAGGATTAAACGAAGCCAACCAGAAACAAAGTGGAAAATCTAGACTCTCAAACTTTAGTATGCATATGAATCTCACTAAAATGCAGACAGTAGTTTGGGGTAATGACAATGAAAGTCCTCACACTACATAAGAATGAGTAAGAGGGACAAACAGGCTTCAGACTCACAGGCTTAGGGCTCAGCCTGCCCAATTCCTCTCTACAGGTGCCACTCAAAATGTTTACTGAGCCAGGCTGAGGCAAAGGTGGGAGTATCTGCAAGTTCAAGGTCAATCTGCCCTATACAGAATTTCGGGCCAACCAACCAAACATAGTGAGACTCTATTTCAAAGAACTCGAGTTTACAATTTCCCACGCTTTCCCTTGAGCAACAATATTCTTTAAAATAAGTATCCTCAATAAAAAAGAAATATTCTGTCCATTGACTTCTATAATACTTTTTTTTTTTGGTTTTTCGAGACAGGGTTTCTCTGTATTGTTTTGGAGGCTATCTGTCCAGGCCGGCCTTGAACTCACAGAGATCCACCTGCCTCTGCTTCCCGAGTGCTGGAATTAAAGGCGTGCACCACCCACCACCGCCCAGCTGACTTCTATAATACTTTTAAAGACCAAAATTTAGTGAAAAAAACACATCTGTTCCTTATACATTTTATTGTTATTTCATTTCAGCCTTTATTGTTTGTTTGTTTGCTTGCTTGTATTTATTTATTTATTTTTGAGACAGGATTTCTCTGTTTCAGCCCTGGCTGTCCTGGAACTTTGTAGTACAGGGTGGCCCTGAACTCAGAGATCCACCTACTTCTGCCTCCCAGGTACTTGGATTAAAGGTGTGAGCCTCCAGGCCTGGCTCATTATTTGGGCCTTTAATGAAATGTCTCCAAGTGGTTTTTGTTGTTGTTGTTGAAAAAAGGAAGCCTGGCGTTGGTGGCACATGCCTTTAATCTCAGCACTCGGGAGGCAGAGGCAGGCGGATCTCTGTTGAGTTTGAGACCAGCCTGGTCTACAGAGCTAGTTCCAGGACAGCCTCCAAAGCCACAGAGAAACCATGTCTCGAAAAACAAAAACAAAAAACAAAAAAGGAAATAATGTGATTGTGGAAACACACAAGCTTCAGAGTCACACTTTAACTTCTAACCCTTGCCTTGCCAATAATGCTATGAATGACTAGTCAGGTTGTGCAGTACCTCTGTCTTTCGTCATGCACAGAATGAAGGAACACTACCTATCTCAGCATGGTAGTTAAGGACTCACTAGTGTATTAACGTCTGCTAAACAAGGGAGTAAGCTTCCTTCCTCTATCCTTTCCATATACTCTTCTTTGTTGTTCTATCTCAGCCAATTTTTCTTCCATCTTTTTGATCATTTCATCATATTTTAAGTAGAATAAGTAGAAGTCTCAAAGTGTTGCATAGACTGACTGATCTGTTACACATTTGTACAAAGCAGAGTAATTTTCAGATCAAACATTTCAATGTCTCTAAATCAAGTTATTTATCCACAACCCAAGTAATGAGTCCTGTGTACTTATATTGCCTCCCTAAAGCCTCCACCTATGGCCTAATGTAGTGTTTGTCTGATACAACTTACTGCAGTGATGAAAATCTTCTAAATTGTTCAAGACAAAAGCCATCAGCTACATAGATCCAATGAACACTTAAAACACCTTCTACTACCAAGAAACTTAAGTTTTTAATTTTATGTATCTTCACCTTAAATTTAAATAGCTACAGGTACTAGCATCTACTGTGTTGGAATAGCACAGGCACAGTATGTTTACTAGTTTAAACCAAAATCAAACTACTCAATTAAAGGTTCTCTCAAGTTGCTCTAAGAAATTTTCATTCCCTTGTTAGAATGGTTGTCCCAGACATTATAAGCCACCAACATACCTTCCTTATCTACTAGATAGGGATCTTAATGGATTTCAAAGAATTACTAGCAAACATAAACCAAAATATTAAGTAACTCTACAGAACATTCTTACTTTAGTACCAAGTATTGTTCATATTAATTGACCAAATGTGTGATATGAACTACCAGGTAGTTCAATCAGTTAATCTTCAGAAAACTCTTTAGGTCAACTATAAAGTTTTTTAATGGCTGTATATTAAATATGTGAGCAAGTGTATATTGCTTTTTTTTTTTTTTTAGGTGGTGTTACGGGAGGTTCATTGAAAAGAGGAGATAAGCGGCACTGGAAACATCCCGGTGTGGTTAGTACATTTTACTCCTATAATCCGGCACATCTTCAAACATGAGGTTGTAGCCATTGCAAACTTGGCTTTTGTAAATATTTGAAAACGTGTTTTCATCATCAGATGCACTAAAAAGGCTTTGGGTGTCGTGCGATTCAACTCAGACATCAACGTGCTCTACAAATAACTATTAATACTTGTTCACCTACATGTGGAAAACGGTAACAAGGAAATGTCAGGTAGAAGCTGTGACCAAGGTCATCGGGGAAAATGAAGTTAGTACTGAGAGGTCCTTTCGCTAGGTAAAAACCGGGGTTCCGACCATCAAGTACCAGGTAGTAAGGAAAACTTGCCTGATGCCCCTCCAAAGAAACTTCAGGAGGAAGAAAACGGTTCTATCCCCAGGGGCGAATATATTTGGGTTTTACATGGTTAGCAAAATGTCTACTGACATAACACATTAAACCTGAAAGGTATACGCAAAATCTCTCATGCCATAGCCTTCCTCTACTTTTTGTAATCTTGGACTGGCGAGCACTACCCTTAAAGAAAAATGCGTTAGTTCTCCTTTCTACACTACCAATAACCTAAAAGGCTTCTCTAGCAACCGGATCCCAGAAGCATTGTGCTCTTCTTGAAAGTCTACCGCTCCCTTCCTTCAGTGAACAGCGTTTTGGGGGGCCTACTGGAGGGGCCCCTCCAAGGCAGCAGCCACCAACCTGCCAGGGAAAGGCGAGGCGTAGATAGTCTCCGAGCCAGTAGCATCCCACACCGCACCATGGGGGCCGCCATCTTGAAGCGTACCAAGTGGAACGCCGGCCCGGGGGGGTGTCACCTCCGCCGGAAGTGGACCACTTAGGGCGTTCCCCCTTGCCGGGTCCCGCAGTTGGTGCGGTCCGGGCCGGGACAATATGGCTACGGTATTTCGGCCCCTGGAACAGTTGCGAGCGCCACGTCCTTCGTGGCATCCCGGGGTGACAGGCTCAGGCTCTGCCTGCGGCCGCTGCACTCTCGGAGGTACCCGCGGCTTCACCCTGTGGAAGGAGGGAGGGGGAAGAGGAGGAGCATGTGACCCCAGCGGTGTCTTTGGAGCAGGTTCCGGCGACCTTTTCCTCTGGTTGCACGTGTTTGCAGCCCCGTTTGCGAGAGACCGTGAACACCTCCACTTGGTGCCTTGGTGCAAAGGGCAGCTAGGGTCTGGACTCAAAGGTCCACGTTGCTCTTGGAGAGCACTCCTCACCTTGTGGGAGGATTTAAGAGATGGGAACCCCAGCCGTGCTGCTTACATGCTAAAAGACAGGCTTCCTCATCCCCCAAGTTATTCCTTGCTGCCTTTCTGTAAATAGTAAACGTGAGACTGCTACTGAGTGGTAATAAAAGTGTTTAACGTTCTGGTGTACTTTACATATATGAGCTTTTTTTTTTTTCCTTCAGTCATCATCCAATCGTAGAGGTAATAACATTCACAGACTAGGAAACAGACACGGTTGTCACTTGCCCAAGGTCACAAGGAGCTGGCTAGGGGAGTATTTGAACAAAAGACATGGTCTGACAGCTTCGCAGGATTAGCTTTTCATAAATAGCTACTTTTATTATTACTTTATCTTAGCAGAATCCGTGCACGATTTTTTTGGCTAAGCTTCATTTGTTTTTATCTCGTGCATAGCCAAAGATGCTGAAGGATACAGTCCAGATTTACTAAGCTGTAGTCGGTGACTTCTGATTTAAGGCTGCTTGAGTCCAGATCTGAAAGGCCGTCTTCAATTCGGAACTTACAAAACTGGAGGTCACAATGTAGCTTTTCCCAATATCCCATGGTTCTTGAACCAAGATAAACCAAACGTGGTGTGTGTATGTGTGTGTGTATGCAGTTGCTTAACTAGATGGGAGATGACCATTTCTTCTTTGTGTCTTATCATGTCAACTAGTCTTCACACTCCATTAATCATTACCTACTTTGAAACGTAAAACTTTTGCCAAGATTTGCAGTCAGTAGTAGACTGGAGATGTTTGTTTCCCCACCAGGGATACTATCATGTTTGTATATATCAAGATGGACCATTTATTACTCTAATAGGTGAGGATGAGTTCATTAGAGGCAGCCAAGCTTTAACATGCTATTTGCTAGGGGAAAGAACAATCAAAATAATTTCAATTATTTTCTCTTTTGGTTTTTTTTTTTTTTAGCTAAAAGATACCTACTCACAGACAGCATTGTGAAATTAAAGGAATTCCAACAAAAGAAAGTGACTATTGCACGTAACCTTCCCAGTACCAAAGGTAATAAATAGTATTTGTTTCATTAATTCTTTTATCGATTCTCATTCAAACTTCCTCTCTGTCTCTATTTATTCTTCCAAGACCTGCCTCTTAGAGAGAGCGAGAGAGAGAGAGAGAGAGCGCGAGAGAGCATTTGCTTCGTTTCCTAGTCTACCTTTCATCTCACACACTACTACTGAAAGTCTACAACTCTTCTCTTAGCCCTGCCCCCAGGATCCCAGGGAAATAGTGAAATGAGCCCTGTGGCCAGTCATCTAGATCTGTGCCACTCAGAATATGATTGAGGACCAGCATCAGCATCAATTGGGAGACTGATGGAGACACAAATGGAAAGGCAGATGATTTGTATACACTATATAGTTCAAGAATCCAGATTACTCGCTTTGAAATGTTGTTTAACTTTTGGTGAAACATAGACTTTATGATATATTTGTAGGTAAATGAGACCATGGTGTGATAGTGCATTTTTGGCATGTTTACATTGTAAAATCTGGGGAATTTATTTTGTAAAGTCCATTGTGTTTAGAGTATATAGAAGAATCAAAGTTAGCAACTGTTGAGACCAGTTGGTACTTGATGGTCCTTATATTGTTGTTTTGTTTTGTTTTTTACTTCTGAGAGGTAGTTCAGGAGTTAACAGTGTTTGCTGCTGTTCCAGAGAATCTGAGTTTGGTTCCTAGCACCCACATGGGATGGCTCATATCTGCCTAGAACCCTAGCTTCAAGTGGTTCAGTGTCCTCATTTAGTCTTTGCGGGCAGAAACATGCACAAACCCAAGCTCATACACACAGAATGTGTATAATTTAAATTTTTTAAAATTGTAAAAAGCACCAAAACCGTGAGCACACCAGTGCCAGGGGCTCTAGTGCCTTTTGCACCTTGGCAATCTTGCTGCATTCATTCCCTGTGTCCTGCAGGTGGAATTTTTTTTTAGAACTTCAGAGTCCTTTATAAGCATATTTAAGACTTCCTCTGACTTTTGTTGTTGTTTTGGTTTTTAAACAACTCTTTGTGTTGTTATGTAAATTTGTTCTTAGAAGACAATTTCATGTCTGTCCACTATTCATACCAGCCACTGTCACCGTCCGCCTCACTACCTTCCGGATCCTCCTCTCACACCCATGCCTGTTTGTTCTGAGACCCTGTTGACTTCTTTGGATATAGGCCCGCTCTCCTTCCCCTTGCTGCCAGATGCTGTTGAGCAGCATACCAACCCTTCGTGTCTCCATCTCTCCCGTCCCAGTCTCCTCTCTCTGCTCTGCCAGTCGTGGAATGCCACTGTGGGACTCCAAGACAAGCCTTGGCAGTCAGGGAAAATACTTTCATCTCCAGCTGAGCACACTCAATATGGGTTCACTGAAGTGTCTCCTTTTTATTCCCCTTATGTTTTTCTAAAGATTTATTTATTTTGACTTTATGTGTGCGGGTGTTTTGCCCGTATGCATGCCTGTGTATCATGTGTGCGGTGCTCACAGGCAACACAGAAGAGGGTGTTGAACCCTCTAAAAGTGAAGTTACGGATACTTGTTAGCTGCCGTGTAGATCCTGGGCACTGAGCCTGAGTCCTCTGCAAGAACAAACAGTGCTCTTAACTGCTCAGCCACCTCCAGCCCCCAAACCATCCTTTTCATCTTGGGTACTTTTGGGCTCTGTGAGGTGTGCAGGTAGGAAGGACTCCCCACTGTGGGCTGTTTGTTATGTCTGCTTGTGGCCTTCATAAAGCTGCAACTGCTTTGAACAGATTTGAATGCAATCTTAAGAGTCAGTGTACTCTGTTGTTGACTGATATCTACGTCACACACCATTTCAGCACTTTTAGGAACCCACAATGGCACCCTTTCACATACCGCACTTTGCACGTATTTTTCCAGAACAGTTCAGCGATACCCTCCACTTCCGTGAAGCTTCATCGTCCAGATACCAAAGTCACCTCTTCTTACTGTGCCTGTGTCCTTCACACCTTTTGTGTAACAACAGCCTGCCTTGCCGGGTAGACTTTAAGCTCTGTGGGAGGAGCCATAACTTTGTGTGAGAGGCACATTGCTCTGATTGGGATTATCTGGTAAATACTTGAAAGTCAAACTATTTAAGTCCTAATGTTCGTTTCTTAATGTTTTAAATTCACTGGGCTTATTAATGATTAAGAGGTGGAGAATGCAAATTCATGGCTTTGAAATCTTTTAGGTGAGCAGTTGCTTAGAAGTCTCTAAAATTGAGTTGTCCAGGTTAAACAGGCGTGAGATGAGAGTGAGGTCGCCAGCGCCATTGCTTACTTGGAGGGGAGCCGTGCCCTGAGGTGTTCCCTCGGTGCCTCTGTGCCTCGAGCTGTGGCTGAGTTTCTTCTCCCTGAGGTCAGCCTCCTTGCAGCCCCAGCCATCCTGAGTCACTGCCACCACCTTGTGCTTCTTTTCAGCCATCTACTTCAGAAGCTTGGAGGAGAAGTTGACCCAGAACAAGCTCATCTTGAAGGAAGAGTTGAAAACAGTGCTTCACCTGTGTCAGTCCCGGGACGATGTGGAACTGGCGAAAAGTGTCATTTACAGGTGAGGGGTTTCCCGAGAACCCTGCCAGCCTCACCTCTTCTCACTCCGCTCTTCCCAGGGCCCACTTCACCTCTGCGATGACGTATCTTACCCTAATGCCTGCCTTCAGCCTCGGACATTGATACTTATTGGGGGGCCAAGTGTAGGAAAGCAACTCCTAAACTACCAACTGAGTGTCCAGTCCCTCCAGTAGCCCGTCCTGATGTGAGACGCTATGGCAGGTGAGGGATAAATACACCATGCTGACAGAACAGAACTTAATGGGGGAAGGGAAGAAAGAGGGAGAGAAAAAAGAGAGAGAGACAGACAGACAGACAGACAGACAGACAGACAGACAGACAGACAGACAGAAACCTGTCTGCCTCTTCGGAGAAATCGGACCTTTTGCACAGAGACGGGGTGACTCACTATGTCAGAGGTGGGGCCAGGTTTGTCTGCATGATGGCAGTGTGGTAACCCCAACCATAAAATTACTTTTGTTGCTACTTCATAGCTATATTTTGCTACTGTTACGAATACCATGGCCTGAGCCCTCCCCCATTGATCACCAATTGAGAAAATTCCTTACAGCTGGATCTCGTGGACGTGTTTCCTCTCTGATGACTCTAACTCGTGTCAGGTAGACACACAAAAGTAACCAGAGCAGCATTCCACCATACCTTAGGTCTTTTAGTCAGCTGTGCCCTGTTAGTAGACATCTGAATTACTTCTAGGTTTTCCTCAGCACAACTAATGCCATGGTGAGTTGCTCTGGAAGACTTAGCTACTCTTTGTTTGTGTTTTGGCTCAAAGAGTGTATCTGTCAGTTTTTCATGACTATAACAAAGTGCCTGGGATAATCTGCATATGAAAAAGGGACACTTATTTGACTCACAGTTTCAGACATTCTTGGGCGTGACACTGCCTCACAGTTTCGGACATTCTTGGGCGTGACACTGCCTCACAGTAGTTTCGGACATTCTTGGGCGTGACACTGCCTCACAGTAGTTTCGGACATTCTTGGGCGTGACACTGCCTCACAGTAGTTTCGGACATTCTTGGGCGTGACACTGCCTCACAGTAGTTTTGGACATTCTTGGGCGTGACACTGCCTCACAGTAGTTTCGGACATTCTTGGGCGTGACACTGCCTCACAGTAGTTTCGGACATTCTTGGGCGTGACACTGCCTCACAGTAGTTTCGGACATTCTTGGGCGTGACACTGCCTTCATCTCGGTTCTACTGAAGACCTTTGGCTGTTGCTCACTGTGCTGGTGAAAAGCGCTCATGTCTCAATATAGGAAGCCAGAGAGCTGGGTGGGCCAGCCTCGGCTTTTATAGTATCTCCTCTAGCACGGAAGGCGGGGGTCACATGAGAAATACCTAATCCTTTCTGAGAGCAATAGCCTCAGTTGGTCTAAGGACATCCTATTAGATTCCACATTGGGGAACAGACTGGAATGCACAAACCTTTGTGAAACAAACCAGATTCAAACTATGGCACAGCCTGCTAATAAACCTTCAGGTTGTGTCAGCAAAACTATTGCTACATTGTCATTTGACTCTGGCTTTTTTTCTCTTGTTTTTCCTATTATTACCCTCCATAGGATAACACAGCAGGATAACAGTTGTGAACACTCAGCTTTTACATCCATCACACACAACCAAAGTGACTCATAGCTCTTCACAGGTGCTCATGATGCAGCCCAGTTGCCTTCCTTTGCCTCTTTTGTGAACAGCTGGGCAGGTTGGTGCATCCGTGGTCTAACCACCTGTTGGCGGTCTTCCTGAGACACGCAGCCCGCCGCGGGGAAAGGAGGTCATAAGCTGAAGCAGAAGCTCACCTTTATGGAGTCACAAGTGGGAGTGATGTGATCCCCCTCCTAACCTTGCTCCAGTGCTGTTTCGTTTATGGGGAGACTCTAGATCCTCCCTTCCTTTTAGATGTAGAGGTCAAATCAGGGAAACTTTTGCTTTCTGTTTTTAATCTGGCACCAGCTTCTCATCTAATGAAATCTATAGATTTTGAAGATGCCTCACATGTTGTAATAACTAACATTAAAGAATTGACATGTGCCAAGCAAAACTTACCCAGTTATCACCAGGTTCCCTGAGTTCTTATCTCTACTTCGCAGATGAGGAAGGGAGCCTCTGAAGAATTTATTGATTTTTCTTGCAGCTACATAGTTTATACGCAGAAGAACTAGACTGGAACCATCATTCGGAACCAGTCCAAAGTCCTTAATCACTACACTTTATTGTCCTTGATAACTCAGTTCTCAAGCATTATAATGGAGCAGCTTACATATTTACCTTCACCGTATTTGGCAGTGTGTGTGTTTACAACACCCCAGCCCTAACACCATTCCATCTTTCCTCTGGTTCAGCAGAAGGTTTCCTAGTAAATTCAGCTTGTTCTGCTACTGTTTTAAAGTCTTTCACATCGTGAAAATCGTGTGTGTAATCATGAGGAGCTCCTTTGGTCACCAGATTGTCATCTTTGGTGCCTACAGCAGCAATGGCTGGTTACTGAAAGTAGGTTTGTGTTGGTCGGTTTCAGATGACTGACTGACGACCTGTAGAACTTACGCCACATAGTAAGATGTCACTGCCATTAAAAGTAGCCTTCTCCCAGGACTTAAAATTTCCAAGTGCATTTAATTTCTTTTGCCTGGGTGGCTGTAGTTCATGTTGGCCTTTACCTGAATTTTGAGAAGCAGGGGTTGATGTAAGTTACAATGTGCCTTTTGATTGTGTGACAACATCCTATATGGGCACAAAGTCACCTCCTAAAAAATCATGGAACACCTCCCAGGGCCTTTTCTGTGGGGCCCATTCGAAGGCAGCCCTGCTGTTATATAACATGCTGATACACATTCTCAGCCCAGCAGGTAGTTGCTTAGTTTAGGGGATGATTACAGTGTGTGTTTTATTTCTTTTAATTTTCAGAGTGTTTTGGCCTCTAGCAAACTCTTTGTTTCAATGCCCAGGATATTAAACTCTGGAACCCCTGAATTTATTCAAATTCCTGTTTCTCTAAAAATGGGAGTTCCTTATTCTTTATTGTGTTCCCAGTACTGAGTGTACACTGTTGTTTGTGTCTGTCCTCATGGGTGTGTGGGTATGTGTGGGATATGTATGTATATATTTATATTTATATATATATATATATATATTTATATATTCACGTATGTGTACATGTGCATGTGAGGGTGCACACACATGGTTAGAGGTCACAGTCGGATATCTTCCTCAGTTGCCCTATATCTTGTTTTTTGAGAATAGGTTTCACTGAACCCAGAGCTCAGTGACTGGCTACTCTGGCTGTCCAGTAAGCAGTAAGAATCCTCCTGTCTCCGTTCCCCACATAGAGTTCCAGGTGCATGCTACTAAGCCTGACTTTTATGTGGGTGCTGGGGATCCAAACTTGGGTCCTTCTACTTGCCAGTTGAGATCTCTACCCTCCCTGTGTCTGTTCTTGCTGTACCGTGTCTTTGCTCATAGAATAATCTCAATCACCAGGTACCACTCAGAGAACAGAAACTTCACTGTGGGGGAATATAAGTTTGGACCAGTTTTCATGAGACTGTGCTACGAGTTGGATCTTGAGGACTCTGCAGTAGAACTCATCAAAGACAAGGTTAGTGTTTTCCGGTTCCTTCTACTGCCAATGTGATCTGGTATTCTTGGTGCTGTTAGGAAAGACATCTTTTTATGCCACATGGTTTCCTGGGTAAGACTTTCAGGGAAAGGCCACAGAGCTGAATAAATAAGCTGTCTGCTTTTCAAATGTTTCCTTAGTGTTGGCTCACAAGGAGACTTAGAGGTATCTTAGGAGGCATAGCATAGTACAGAGGCTGATGCTTATATATGCTGTTGTATAGTGTGTAGTGCTAGGAAATGTAGCCTGTCTCTGGAGTTCAGAGGCGAATAGTTTAAGACCAGCCATTGATTTCCTATCCTGCGCCTGCTCTCTCTCTCTTGTTTTTTGTATTTTTTTATTTTTGATTGAAGACTGTATTTATAGCTGGTCAACTTTTAAAATGCTTTTGTATATCCTGGTTTTCTTTTTTTTAAACTCAACATAATTTTGTGTATCAGTAAGATAACTCAATGGATGAGGCACTTGCTTTTTACTTTTTTTAAAGTGTTTTTTTGTTTTATTTTTATTTTTTTATTTTGGAGACAGGGTTACTCTGTGTAATAGCCCTGGCTATCCTGGAACTCACTCTGTAGACTAGACTGCCCTCAAACTCATGGAGATCCTCCTGCCTCTGCCTCTTGAGTACTGGGACTAAAGGTGTGTGCCTGGCTAAAGAAACTTTTCATGCTAGCCCGATCTGAGTCCAACCTGTGGGACCCATGCAGATGTGGAGGGGGAGAGTCAGGTCCACACAGTTGTCCCCTGGCCTCCAAGCATGCACCGTGGCACATGCACTCACAAACATACACACAATAACAATGAATAAATTCTAAAAACATTTTTAGTTGGTTACTGAATATTTACTGAATCTTCAGCCCTTTCCCACAATTGTTGTTATTATTATATAATTACTATTCCCACAGCAGCCCAGTCACAGGTGTGATTATTATCTCTGTCTCACAGAAGGTGGAACTGTGCATTAGAGGCATTATAAGTTCTTCCATGGCCAGGGACTCTTAATTTGCCTGTGTCCGCCGTGTGCAGCTTAGGAAATCCGGGGTGAAATGATTGGGCGTTGCTTCCTACTGTCTTTCATTTAATGCGCTCTTTACTAATGGAACTGACCCTAGGTTTGACCTTTGTATTTGAGATGAGTGACCAGGCTGGTCTCAAGCTTGCAGTCCTCCTGCCTCACCCTCCTGAATGCTGTGATTACAGATATGCACCACCATGCCTAGCATTAGGGTTACCCTTCCTTAAGCGCATCATGCATTAGAAGGATGGTCATAATGTATTTGCAAGGAGAGGAAAAGTTGTTTAAGAACAGTTTCAACATTTGATCTTGCCTTCTACTTTAAAATAAAGAGAGAAGCCATACAAGGGCTGGCGGAATACCCAGTGGATAAAATGCTTGAAAGGAACCTCCTCAGAACCCATATTTTTAAAAAGTCCAGCATGGCAGTATGTACTTACAGTCATAACACCAGGGAAGTGGGGACTTGTAGATTCTTGAGGTTCATTGGCTAACCAGCTTAGCCCATTTGTGAGTTATAAGCCAATAAGAGACTCTGCCTTAGAAACAAAAGAGGTGAACAGTAACTAAGAAATGGTATCCAAGGTTGTTCTCTGGCCTTCACATACACTGGCATATATGTGCAGCCATACCCACACATACACGATTACATTCTTGTGTGCGTGTATTAAAACCTGGAAGGTAAAAATGGTGTCTTTAAGGTTAGAATTATTAAAACCTCACTTTTTCATGTAATTTGTGTCTTAGTGTTTTAAATAAATATTTTAATTTTATACTTAAAAGAAAGCAAATAGTTTCTTTGTTATAGTCAAATCCATGATTGTGACAGGAAAGACAAAATGTCAGTGGTTTTTTAACCTTGTACGTGGAATCGCATGTGTGATAGAGATGCAGTGAACTGAGTAAGAGTTGAGAGCTAACCGTGCCTCTGTGACAGTGTCGTGTCCCTCCGCTGTCACTTTATGCTTGTCCTCGTCCTCCGAAGCCCCTAGTGGTGACTGGGATTGGGCTCTATTGTCTCTCTTCTCATACTCCCTTGTCCACTCAGCTGTCTACACTAAAACCCAGCTATCACTTAGAGCAGACCTTGTCTCGTTTCTCATTCCTTATTCTCAGCATCTAGGATCTGCGCGGTAGGTAGAAAGAACAAAGGAGAAAAACACTAGTGACACCTAAATATCAGGTCACACTGTGGCATTCAGAATGCTGGGAAGGTGTTAGAAAGAGAGATGCTGGTCAAAGGTTATACAGTTGATGTCAAAGAATTGAACTTGTAAAATGTGGTGGTCGTAGTAGCAATGTATTCTTTAAAAATTAGGAAGAGAATAGCTCTTAAGTTTCTGTGTGACGTAATACATGTTCTCTGACTTAGCTATTCTGCTGACGTATTTTAAAACCAAATATAATGAGATAAGTATACAGATGTTTTAGTCTATTGAACTAAATACAAGACAAAAACAAGGTTGAGAGCCACTGTTTTAGCAGATGATTTTCAAACATGGCAACTCTGTGTGACGTGCTTGTGATGACTATAGTTCTTTGAGACATTCTTGTCTTCATTCGAAAATCAACTTGCCGCTGCCATTTGGTGCTGCCTGGTACCAGGTTCATGGCCACCCTCCTGCTTGTACACTACTCATGATACTGAGAGCTCTCTTGCTTCTTGTCCAGTGTGTCCATTCCCAAAGCTGTAACAGGGTTTAAAAGTGAAGCTTTAAAGAAACCCTTGTTGTACCAGACTACTAGGGAATTGAGGGAGCTACAGAATAAAAACCTGTAGAGCAGAGGTTCTCAACCCATGGGTCCCACCTCTTTGGCGGTTGAACGATTCTTTCACAGGGATCAACTAAGACCATCAGAAAACACCAATATTTACATTGCAGTTCATAACAGTAGCAAAATTAGAGTTATGAAGTCGCAATGAAATAACTTCATGGTTGGGGGCACGACAACATGAGGAGCTGTATTAAAGGGTGACAGCATTAGGAGGGTTGGGAACCACGGCGGTAAAGGTGCAAGCCCTACATAGTGGTTCATGCCTTTAATCCCAACACAAGGCACTCAGGTCGGTGGATCTGTGTGAAGAACATGGTGAGTTACAGGACAGCCAATGCTACCTAGTGAGACCTGGTCTAAAAAAAAGGATGCAGTATGTGACACCCCCCATAACAGTTTAACTTTTGATCAAACTGTATTGTTTCTCTTCACTAGCACTTACGAGGTTTCTTCCTAGACTCAACATCATTCAATATTTTGATGGATATGTTATTTACCAAAGGCAAATATGAAAGTAAGTACTACAGTCTGTGGTTGTGGAAAACTCTACTGGAAAAGCAGCTGGGGTGGGAAGGACCATAGAAGTGGCCCTTAGAGTCCTGTTGAAGCGCCCCACTGTGACCTCACTCCTTAACTCTGAAAACATCAAATGCATACGATGGCTGAAATGAGCCGCCTCAGATTATCTAAAACCTTGGCAGGTTTTCCATGCGGTCTTCCTGCGTGACCTGATGATTTAATTGAACATTAAGATAATTCCTATTTGACCTTGAGGAATGGCTTTTATCATGCTAAAATCTGCTTTTTGGTAGGTAATGCTGAACTGATTATGACCTTGGGAAGTGCCCATAGGTGCCTTTAACCCTGCTGACCACTCTTCACTCGGCAGGTGCCCTGCAAGTTTTGATTGAAATGAAAAACCAAGATGTGAAGTTCAGCAAAGACACCTACATCCTTGCTTTCGCTGTTTGCTACAGACTGGTAAGACTTAACTCTCAGGCGTTGGGATTGAATAGTATTGGGAGAGGATTTCCTTTCTCTCTCTCTCTCTCTCTCTCTCTCTCTCTCTCTCTCTCTCTCTCTCTCTCTCTCTCTCTCTCTCTCTCTCTCCTCCCTTCTCCCTCCTTCTCTCTTTTTCTTTCTTACTCCAGTTCCTCTGGAGTCTGTTTTCCATCTGGTGCAAATATTTTAATTCGAATTGTATCCATTTTTAGAAAACTCAAGTTAGCCTTGTCAGATATTTTTATCATGGGAAAGGCAATCATCTCTCGCCTCTCTTTGGCAAGCATGTAGATGTAGATTGTGAAAACAAGAGCCAAGTTGCTGCTGAGCTCTAGAGTCCCCTGTAGGTTGGGCTATACGAGATCGTCTTCACTGTTGCTTTCCTCTGGAAATCAGACTCCACATGTGATTGCTGTCGTGTATTCTTTCTTATTATTGCTATTATTTTATGCGTACAAGTGCTTTGTCTGTAAGCGTGCCTGCACCATACGTATGCCTGGTGCCTGTGGACACCAGAAGAACTAGAGTTGCAGATAGTTAAGAACCTTCATGTGGGTGCTAGGAACTGAACCCCAGTCCTCTACAAGAGCAGCCAGTGCTCTTACCCACTTAGCCATCTCTTGAGCCCTCTACCATGTAGTTTTGACTTTTGCTTCCAAGCCTTTATAAACCTTTAAAGCACCGTTAGCTGTAGGTTAGAGTTGACCCAAGGGCTATGCTTGCTGGCACCAGGATGCGATGATCCTTTCCAGTCATCCGGTGCTGGAACACCGGTCTTTCTGAATGGCGGTTCTCTGCACAGACATACCTCCCGGGGTGCATGCTCATGTAGAGAATCTAGTTGTGCCTCTCAAGAAGGCCCAGACCATGTTTCTTCCTGAGTTGTAGCCAAGACTACCTTGTTTCATTAAAAGGGCTGCTGAGGTTCCCAGCTACCCCTGGCAACCACCCCATATACATTCAGAGTTTACTAAGAGGATTGAGTGGTCAGCCCGTCTTCACAGACACACAGATGTGGGGCTGCCGCCACTGTAAACCCATCCAGCTGTAGCAGCTCAGAGGAGGGGACTGGGTTTGTGTTGCTGTCTGGCTGACTAGTGCATCCCTTTCTTGGATTTAAAAATACATTTTCTTTTTTAGACGTATTTATTTTACTTTATGTGTTTGTAAGTATGTGCACCGCGTGTGTTCCTGGTGCAGGCAGAGGTCAGAAGAAGGCCTCACCTTCACCTGGGCTGGAGTTACAGACAGTTGTGTGGGAGCTGGGAACTGAACCCAGGTCCTCTGCAAGAGCAACAAGTGCTCCTAACTGCTGAGACCTCTATTCAGCCCCCTTGGTTTTTCTTTTTAGCTTTCTGTTTGCATGGGACTCTCCTATAATGTATGTTATGTTAGTGTTGATATCTTCAAGTACTTGGCTTATCTGGAGATTTCAAGCTGGCACTCCCCCAAAGGGAAGTCCCCTGTGTGACTGTACATTACAATGCTATTCAGTTAATAGTCAGCTGACTTCATTGTGGTGCTATGCCTGGAAACGAAACTAGCCTACTAACATACAAAGAAGCCTAGATGTTTACAAGTGAAAACTGGCCTACAATGGAAATAGACAAGCTGAACAATAAAATTAATTTAGAGTTGAGCTGCTACCATATGAATAACCTAGTCTGTTTGCAGATGGTCTCTTTATTGCTTAATTTTTTCTTCTATTTTTGAGATTATAATATAATCATTTCTTCTTCCTTTTCCTCCCTCTAAGTCCTCCCATATACCCCTCCTTGCTCCCTTTCAAATTCATGGCTTTTTTCCATCAATCGCTGTTACATGCATGTATGTATATGTGTATACATATGTATTCCTCAATAAGCCTACTCAGTCTGTATGTTACTTGTATGTATGTTCAGGGCTGACCGTCTGGTATTGAATAACCAGTTGGTGTGGTTTTCCCTGGGGCAGACTTTTTGTCCCACTCTCAGTGTTCCTCAGTAAGCTGTAGTTTTTGCACAGGGTGGAAGCCTGTGATCTCTCCCCTGTCCACGTTGTCATATCTATTGAGCTTAATTTACCAAGTGACTTCAGGAGGCTCTGGGAAATTCTTACAGAAGGAAATCTGACAAACTAAGTCCTGTTAATCATTACTCGTGAAGGTTCATGGTATTGACTGGGCAATCCCATCTCCTCACAGAATAGTCCGGAATCTTTTAAAATTTGTACAACGTTAAGAGAAGAAGCCCTAATTAAGGGAGACATCCTCCCCAGGAGAGCATCGTGTTTTGCGGTGGCATTGGCTCTGAATCAGGTAAGGCTGCGGGGCAGAGGAGACGTCAGTGGCATAGAAGTGGGCAGGGCACTGCTGCTCTCCTTTGTCCTGTTTTCATTTATTTTCCCTCCTAACTGTATTGTAAAGAAATCCTGTAATGAAAGCAATTTGCAGCTATGCCTATCTATGCCTGTAAAGAGGGTTTTTACGTATAGCTGAAGACCCAGCATGCATTTTTATTTAGAGTAGGTGGACCAAGATCTTGGGGAGAATCAAAGAAGGAAGCCACAGTCTGAGAGAAATAGCCTGTTATAGCAAAGACGCGCAGGCTTCCTGTGTAGCATTCTCAGAGAGCATTTTACGTGAGAAAGAACTCCTGGGTCAGTCCTTGCTAGTTAGACCCATCTGCCATTATTTAGTTGAAGTCACCATTCCCTTAGTTCCTTTTCCTCTTATTGACAAATGAAGCAACCGAGGCCCCGGGGGAACAAGGTGAAATCCCTGAGGTTGATCACAGTGAGGGCCACAGCACAGGGACACCTGCTGTGTTACAAACCCCACCTCTGAGATACCCTCTTAGAAGACCCAAAATATATGAAATGCTTCGCATATTTTCCATGTGGCAAATGAAAGTCTCATGATGGAAAATTCTAACCAAGGTAGGTTATTACCCAACTAACAAAACAAGGCTGGGGAGCTCTTACTTAAACTAACTAGAATAGGTACTTAAACTAAAGGGTGATGGTTTCCTTAAGGCTGGGGAAGGCTTAAGGGGATGCACTCCCACCAGGCACCAACTGCGCATGATCACTTCTGGCTTACCAGATTTCCTGTCAGTCAGGGAAGGTGTTTCATGTCTTCCTACTCTGTCAGGGACTGAGTGACATGGATTGAAGTCTCATCTGAAACACATGTCCCCAGTCTTTATGTAGCTCTGCAGTTTTCCTCTTATGAAGCATAGCCTTCCCATCAGAACTCAGATGAACCCTCCTGTCATCTTTCTGAATGTCTCCTTGGTTGCAAAAATCATTTTACTGACTTCAGCCTTGTCTGATAGCATCACCACCTTTGTTTTTGTTATCTGTTCATTTTTATCACGTTTGCATTTGTGTACTAATACCTTTTAATCATTTTATTTGAAGTCTTTCTGAGATGTTTTGGTTTAGGTGTATCTCTTACATGCCGCAGAACCTCAGCTTGCCTTTATAATAATGATACTAGTCTTTCTGAATCTGTTTGTATTCATATGACATGAATGGTCTTAGGTGGAATTTTATTTGATACTCTGTATTTTTACAACTTAAAATATGGCATATGGTGGTTTTCAATGGATTCCTACTCCTGCTGTACTGGTTACTTTTAAAGCAAAGTTGGCAAATTTATGAATGAAGCATGATAAGTGCTTGAAGAAGGACAGTGATTTTTGTGCTGTTTGCCTGAAAGGGGAGGACAGTGTTTTTCTGCAGGTGGTTTGCTCAGTTTATAGACACTGGGTGTTAGCCCGTGCTGCAAACCGGAACCAAGAGGTATGGGGCTTTCTCTTCTTATGTCCCTGTGTTTCCTTATTAGCCACTAGAGTTCTGAGAGACTCTCTCAGTATTAGAATTTATTTTGTTGCAAACTTTGGAGAATTGGATGGAAAGGCCACTTTGGGTCTTAGCACAGCCTCTGCCATCCTAGGGTCACGGTCACAGGTGACACGTCCTTGTGTTCTCTCTACTGGTTACTTCAAAACCATGTTATCTCCTAGTTTCCTCACTCTATTCCTCTGACAACAGCTGCCAATAGTGAAGTTAATGTGTTTTCTTCTTATTCCTCTTTCTTCATCTCCGTCATGGAATTTTAGTTGATATGCTACCTCTTGTATTGTTTGCCTTTCTCTTAAATATACCCAATTTATGAGGTTTAAATAGGAAGTAAAAGAGAGGAAATGGACACTGTATTTTGAATTTCTTGTGCCCTTATTCTCCTTTTGTGTAGTATAGTTCCTTCCTTCCCGGGTGCATAGCATCTACACTCTGCAGTTGTGGTCCTTGACAGCAAGGCAGTCTGCTGCTTGTTGCCACGGGGTGCTAGCCTACAATGTGCCTTCTGATAAGTTCCTCCAACAAACGTATTACCTGAGTTCTTGCCATTTTAAGTTATTTGTTTTTGTACTTGTCCTACAGTCTTGTCAGATTTGACATTTTGAAATAGAATTTCTTGAGGGTTTTTTGTTTGTTTTTGAGCTTTGGTCTTTTGTCCTATATCTTGCTCACTGCTGTGGAGAACTGTTTGATGTGATCTTGTTCATCTTTCTCATTGTTATCCTCTATATCATATCCATGAGCATATATCATACTGGAGTTTCCTCTAATTACCATCTCAGTTTTTGTTTTATTGAGTCCCTTTCCTCTCATTAAAAAAAAAAACTTTCTTTACACAGTTCTTATGCTGATTCTCTCTTGATTACTCACCCCTCAAAAATATAAATTTCTTTTCAAACACCATTGACAGTAAATTCATGTCAGAGAGACAGAAATACCAGAGCCCTAGTCCAGATGAGCAGGCTTTCCTATGTAGAACAACTCCATATTGTAACCTGCGGTCCTGCATATATATGCCCACACTTGCTTCCCCCAATCTATGCCAACAGGATTTGGGATGCAGCCTTTGCTCCACTGCTACTCTAGAGGCACACTGCCTTCTGCAAACCCAGCTTTTGTTGCAGGATTCCCGCCGGGGCCTGTTGCCACTCTAGCCCCCAAATAACACACAAGACACTGTATTAATTATAAAGCTGTGGGCCGTTTGCTGTGGTTTCTTAATGGCTAGCTCTTACTTAATCATTAACCCATAATTACTAATATATATTTTTATAAGGTCTTATCTTACTGAGAACGCCAGACTTGCGCCCTCTCCTCCCAGGATCACATGGTGACTCCCCACTCTTGACTGTATTTCCCAGAATCCTCCTCGACTCTTAGTCCCGCCTATCTTGCTTCCCTATTGGCCAACAGTGCTTTATTTATCAACCAACCAGACAAACATATACACAGAAGGACTTCCCCCATCAAGCTTTGTCATGGATGCCCTCACCACTCACCTGTGCATCCCTGGGGACCCCAGTTTGCCTCTTACCTGACTCCATTCACTGCAGGCTGGCACTTAGGTCATGGACTCTGGGTTGTGCTGGTGGAGAACCTCCTAGAACCTAGGAGCCCCTAGGAATGTGGAGCCCCTTTCTGTAATGTGTAGGACCTCTGCCTGTTTCCTCCTCAACCTTGCTGGGCTTCGTCTCCAAGAATTCTCACAATGTTCCCACATCTTGTCTGATTTTAGGCTTCACTAATTATGCCAGTGGTGAGGCTTGCTGTCTGTTTCTCATTGTCATTTCTCCTTAAAGCTGATTCCACCAGGAGAAGGAAAGCTGCCTCTAATGCCTCCATCCTAAAAACAAGACTCAGTGAAATTGCTAAAAACAAGGATACCGCACCACTGAGTAAAAACCCTTTATACAATGTTTGCTTATTTTAAAACTCCCATTGTTGATTTAAACTCCGAGGCCCGTGCATAGGAACCTCCTGCTTTCTCTAGGTGATATGTAGGCGAATAGAGTGATGGCTGTAGAGTGTGACTTTTGTTTTTCCTTCCAGGACAAGGTGGAAAAAGCCATGTCCATTTTTTCTCAAATCATGAATCCAGAGAGTACAACCTGTGCTAACTTAAATGTAAGTGATTTCTTTGTAGTTTAAAGTGAGTTGGAATGTGGTAAACTGTCTGCTGTTTTTGTCTGTGTGCAATGATTTGATTGTCCAGGGTTGTCACTCAGTTTAAAAGAATAGTCATTTGTCAAACTTCCTTCGGGGAGCCGGGCGTTGGTGGCGCATGCCTTTAATCCCAGCACTTGGGAGGCAGAGGCAGGAGGATCTCTGTGAGTTCGAGACCAGCCTGGCCTACAAGAGCTAGTTCCAGGACAGCCTCCAAAGCCACAGAGAAACCCTGTCTCGAAAAACAAAAACAAAAAAAAAAAAAAAACAAAAAAAACTTCCTTCTGGGAAGAGCCACCTCTGTGAGAGAAGTCATCACCACAGGGCTTCCAGGAGTTCATGAATGGTGGGTGAATGGGTCTGCTTAGGTGTGTGGTAGGCTACCCACTGAACATTTGAGGCACGGTGAGAAGGCAGTAGGTTTGAGAAGAAGGAGTGGTTGAACTTGCCAGACTCTTTCCAGGCACTGGGTGAAGCCTGTGTGCTAGCTGCATCCTACCTGTGGTGGCTAACTTGTGGCGTGCTTGTGACTGGTAAGCTGGTGTACATGCGGTCTTAGTTGGGGTTTCTATTGCTGTGAAGAGACACCATGACCACGGCAACTCTTTTTTGGTTTTTCGAGACAGGGTTTCTTTGTTTTGGAGCCTGTCCTGGAACTCACTCGGTAGACCAGGCTGGTCTCTGCCTCACCAGTGCTGGGATTAAAGGCGTGCGCCACCAACACCCGGCTCATGGCAACTCTTATAGAGAGAACTTTTAATTGGGGTGGCTCACTTACAGCTGCACTCATTCAGCCAAGATATGTGAATAGTCAAACCGAAAACAAAAGTTTTTTTCCAGAACACTAAGTACATTTCAGTAATAAAAATCACAGCAAATCCTGTCACTACTTTTAGTTTTTGAATGTGAGTCAACTAAGGCCTTTTAGATCAATGGAAACAAAGACTGTTTTGTCTTTAAAGAAAACACACCCTCCACTCAGTCAGCCCCATTTGAGCCCTTGCCTGTGTACTGAGTGTGTCTGTGCTGGGTGGAGTTGTGAAGGACAAGCTCCCAACTTTTCTAAAGTATTCATTTATTTTATGTATGCGAATGTTTTGCCTGTATGTATATATGTGCCCCATGTGCATGCCCTGTGCCTATGGAGGTCAGAAGAGAGCATCAGATCCCCTAGAACTGGAGTTAATGGGTGGCTATGAGCTGCCCTGTTAGTACTAAGAACCAGACCTGGATCTTGCACAAGAAATATAAGTGTTATGAGCCCTCTCAGTGTCTTGTCTTCTAAAATAATCCAGGGGTCAAGCTGACTAGAAGTATATCAGCGCCAGTGTGACATGAACCGGGCCACCCCACGCAGTGGGTGTGTCGAGATGGGGGGGCGTGAAGGAAGGGCACAGCTGGACTGCAGGGCAACTAAGGAGAGTGGAGGGGACCTGCTAGGGTTTGGGCTGAAGCATTCCTGTCGGCTTGTGTATTTGGTTCCTTCCTGGGATGCTGTGTTAGGGGCTGTGGGCCCTTCGGGACGCCGGCCTCGATAGTAGAAGTGAGTCAAGGGGTGGACCTTGAAGGTGCCGTCTGCTCTGCTTCCAGCCTGAGCTCACCCAGACCCAGCCAGACGGAAGAGCTCCTGCCCCGAGCCCTCCTCCTTTCATTTGCTTCTGTGGGCTGCTTTGTCACGTGGCAAGAAAAGCAGCTAATACAAGTCAACTGTGGGGCGGTGTTCTGAAAGACGGGGCATGGGATCTGAGGGATGTAGCTGGAAGGACAGTGCTTCCCATGAAAAGAATACACGGACGATTATAGCCTCCTCCTACTAGCTCTGAGTCCTTGGGTCCAGTCTACAGATTCTTCAGGCTTTGTGTCTGACCTTAGTTTTCTAAGTATACCGTGGAAGCTCTGTGGGCACCCGTGCAGGAGGGCATCTGAGGGTAATTCCTTGTGGGCAGAGCTGAAAGTTCTTACCCATAAGTGTTACTGTTTCCTCAGAAGCTTAGAGCTCTGCCTCGGTCCCACTCTGGGACTTTTTACAAAAAGACCCCTGTTATTATCCTAGTGTTGACCCTGGCTGCTTCCTGCCCCCGGCTAACTGCTCCATGCACCTTTCATGTCCATTCTTTCCTTCAGTCATCATCACAAAAGGACAGCTATCTGGACAACTCTTGTGTCCAGGTGGGAAACTGCTTCCTAGAGAGTGACTACAAGTGCGCTCATTTCCTGAGGGGATGGGAGAGTTGCTGGGACTAGGAAGGAACTCTCCCACTAGCACCAAAGCTAGCCAAGTGACTGTAGCATTAGGAAGAGAACCTCTGCATGAGCATGCGGGGAGCAATGCAGTGCATGGGTTACTGCTGGCTTTCCCTGGAGTAGAGGCGGTGTGGTGGGAGAAGCTGAAGACGGTGAAATGGGCGCATTTTCATTTAATTTTAGCTAAGGCACCAGGCTAGGTGCTTTGTGATTCGTTAGTTTTGTAGAGCCCTGTTGGAACAGTGTTACTCTGTACCACTTGTGGAAAGGGATGATCCAGGACAAGTAAACTGCCAAGTCCTCACAGTTCAGGAGACAGCAGAGCCAGTGTTTTCACACAGACAGCAGACTGTAAAGCCTGGGTCCCCCACCTCTCCCAGGAGATGAGACCCATGAAGATAGGAAGGAAGGCTACGCCTGTCACCCAGGCCTGGGACTCGCTACTCCTGAGTAGCCGTGGAAAGTGCACAGGACTGACAGGTACAACCCACTGCCAGAGCAGGTAGCCCATTCTGCAAGGTTAGATTTCTGCTCACACCTGTTGCTCACGATTGTTGCTGGAGTTTCTTGTCCCTCCAGGCCCCACCACTTCAGCCCCAAATGAACACAGAGATGCTGTATTAGCTATTAAACTGTTGGCTGATGGCCAGCGCTTTTTACTGACTAGCTCCGTCTTAATTATTAACCCATAACTACTAATCTATGTATTTCTACATGGTCTTATCTTACCAGAGAACATCTGGCATGTCCTATCCACCCAGTTCTGCACGGCATCTCTCGAGGTCCCTCTCTGGCTACCTTTCCCAGAATTCTCCTTGTCTCCTAGCCCCACCTACCTTCCTGCCTCTATTGGCCGAACAGTATTTTATTCATCAACCAGTAAGAGAAACATATATACAGAAGGACATCCCCCACCACCCAGTTGTTACAGAAATGTAGTGATTTCTTTTTCCAATAGAAAATGTTTTGGTGGGATATATCTTGAGCCTGTTAAGGGTGGGGAGAAATGTGTCCATGCCCTGTGGCTGGGGTGTGGGGCTCACACACTTGCAAGGTAGCAGGAAAACCAGCCAGCACACAGTGCGATCAGCGTGTTGTGATTAAGGACCACACATAAGGAACCTCAAATTTATGTTAAATTTGATTCTGTTTGTGAATGCAGTCAAAGAATTATCCATTATTTGGAAACTTGGATAAAATAGTCTTATTCTTTAAAAATTCCCACTTGGGAAGTTTGTAAATGTCCACTCTCAATTCCTCATGTCACATTATAAACCTGTTTCTTCATCCTCAGGGGTGATGAGAAAGAGACAGATTGCATTCATTGAGGAGGCTTTCAGATTCCGGGTCTTTTACTAGCCCAAGCTTTTTAAATGACATAAAGGGCTTCAGTGCTTCTGAGGCTGTCATCCTACTTGGAATCCTTAAATAGTTTGTTAACCTGACAAATGGGCTGACAGCAAAAGTCTGTTGAGTCAATGGAAGGAAAAATAGATGAAGTTTCTTTTTCTTGGTCTATCTTAAAAGTCAGTGTCTTACATTAACCCTTTGCTGCTGTGTGTTAGAATTTGAACTTACCTAACCTCCCCCAACTTAGTTTTCTTCTTATCTGAATTGCTTCTGCTGCCTGTGTGACCCAGAGGAGCTGGTTTCTTCCGTGCCCAGCTGATACTTGCTGCACCCTGCATTCAGTCTCTGAGCTCATCAAGACACCTGCATGACTCCAGGCTGCCAGTCTCAAAAAGGCCCACAAGCCCTCCTTGGCAGTGCTACTCGCACCACAGGAGGAGTTTCCACTCCCAGAAATATCTGAAGGGCACCGAGGCCAGCACAGGGCAACTTTGTGATTGCGTTTGGATTCCTGTCATTTCTCTAGAAACCTGGGAAGACATTAGAGACTCACTTGGAGCAGAATTTACCTTGCAAAGGTGTTGATTTGTTAGGACAGGTGAGGGTTTAGTGCTCTGAAGTTGTAGCTGATGCTGAGAAGTCCTTCACTCTATTCTTCAGGACCAAAGGTGACCCCTGCCCCGGTGAGCTGCCTGCCTTGAGATTTGTTTGTCCTCAGGAGTCCCTCTGTTGGAGGCTGGACCCTTAGTGTGATGAGAATGAGCTAAGAGGTCTTTAAGAGGTGGTGCCCAGATGAGGCTCCATCCTTATGTAAGGAGCTGTTGGCAAGTAATGGCGTCTAGAGACTCATTTTCCTTCGGGAGTGTAGCCACTATGAGCTACCTGTGAGCTAGTAAACAACACATGCGTGTGCAACCCTAATTGAACTCAGGGGACTATGTTTTAAAAGGACAAGAAAGTAGGAGGGGGTGTGTCAGGAAGAGGAAGTATTCCAGAGGGAGTGGTGGGGGGGAGAAGAGAAGGGAGTAGAAGGTGTGGTCAGAATTCATGATATACGTGCAGGAAATTGTTCTTAAAGCGCATGTTTAAAGTGGGAAGAAATGAAGGTGTCCCCTAGAGGATGGCACTGGGGGTGGGCTCTCAGGAGGTTGATGGTTGTAAGGATATTCTGGAAGCCTAGCCAGGCCCCACCATCTGCTCTCTGGTTTCCTCTTTGAGATACGATCCCTGCTTCCTCACGTGCTTACTCATTGCTGTCATACCGCGGTGTGACTCTGGTGAGAGGGCCTCCCCTGGCTCAGGTCAGCTCCGTGCCATGAACCTCTAGGACTGAGTGAATGACCTTCTTCCCTCCTGCTATGCCAGTAAAAACCCAGGAACTCCAGCAAACAGATGTTATAAAGGAGGCGGGCGAAACAATACAGCTAGCTCAGTGTGGAGGAGAAAACACTGCCCTTCATAGGGATTTGGGCTTTAAAAGGGCTTATTTTTGGTTTAATAATTTCAAGTTTAAAAAATAACTAGGTTTTTTATTTTAATGTATACACATCAATCACTATAATGCAACATGGTAATTATTAATGCATGACTAATTGCTATGCATTTATTCAATATGCAGCTTTAGTTCCATTATTTCTAGTGCTAAGCAAAAATTATTTAGAAACTAGCAAAGGAAAGATCCAGTTTTGGGGGAAATACACTTTGAAGGTACATCAAATTATAAAGAGTGACTAACACTGGTTGGTGAAGTCTCAGTTAGTCTCATTTTTAAACCTTTCTCTGTGTCTCGGATTGTCCTGGTGAGCACAGATGATTAGAGGGGAAATGAGCCTTGCTTTCCCGTGTGCTGTGTGTGCCAGGCTGATGGGAAGGCGTTAGCAGGGCCATTTTGAAAGCTTGGTTTGGCTCCCAGTTTTGAAGCATCTTTAATGAGTGCAGTGCAGATAGACAGGCTTCACTGGCGCTGCAGCCAGCTTCCGGTGTGCTGTAGGTAAGTAGCAGAGGAGGGGAGAGGACGGAGAGAACGGATGTGTTCACATGAACCTCCTGTGTGCTGGTATCTCACTTCATGTTCACTGAGACACGCAATGCAAAAGTGGAGTTTGCAGCTGGGAGTCACGTAGTAGTGATTGCCAGGTTTTTCATCCAGGTACCCTGAGTGTGTGTGTGTGTGTGTGTGTGTGTGTGTGTGTGTGTGTAGTTGTTTCTCATCCATGTGTGTGTGTGTGTGTGTCTATGTCTGTCTGTGTGTGTAGTTGTTTCTCGTGTGTTTTGTGTGTCTGTGTATGTCTGTGTGTGTATAGTTGTTTCTCGTGTATTTGTGTGTGTGTGTGTGTGTGTGTGTGTGTGTGTGTGTGTGTGTAGTTGTTTCTCACCCTTGCTGTGGAATTCAGGAGTCAAACTCGGGCCTGTGTGGCAAGTGCCTCTGCTCCATGAGGCACCTCCCTGGGCCCAGCAGCAGCAATGCCATTAGCTATAGGAAAGTACACTTTGGCTAGTGAGCACACATGCAGAGCACTTAAAACGTATCTGAGCTAATGAATTAGGAAATAGTATTAAAAACTGGGTGCCTGTCAGTGCAGGCTCATCTCACCCTTGTCTGTTCTTTTATTCAGATTTTAATCCATGTCCGGTCAAATATGTTGGAAAGCCTGATAAAGATCTTACAGGACAATGTTGATAGAAACGTATCCATATTTGTGAAAAGACACATGTTCTCAGAGGAAGTGGTAAGTGTGCCAGCGCTGCGGGTGGCCCTCAGTGCGGGGGCACTCCAGATCCTCACCTGGCGTCGCCGCCCTGAGCCCCTCTTCAGCAGGAGGGCACACAGCAGTCTCTCCTGCGGTTACAGGGCTCCACACCCGGGGCTCCTGGCATCCTCAGGGCACCGTCTCCTCTGGGTCCCTTGCCCTGAACGCTTCTGTGGGCACTTTCCTCTTTTCTCTCAGCATCCAGTACCTTCTCCTCGCTCCTCACTCTTGGAGGAGGAAATAGAAACAAGCTGAAGAGAGTGACTGGTACACTGTCAGCCACCAGCCATGGTTGCTGTGTGCGTGGGGACTGCATGTGCCTCTCTCTCCAGCATCTCCACTGCATGTTCTTCTTTCCCTGCCCCTGGACATTGTCACGTAAGCCTGTCGGCCTCGCCTTCCTTGTGGACCAGTCCTATCAGCATTATCGTGTGTATTACCTGTCATCTGAAGAAAACAGTTATCCTACACACGGAAAGACACATGCTGGATTTAGCTAGAAAAGCTGGACCTTACAAATGCCGGTTCTTCCAACCTCCACTCCTCCCCAAGACAGGGTTTCTCTGTGTAACAGCTCTAGCTGTCCTGGAACTCACAGAGATCCGCCTGCCTCTGCCTCCCGAGTTCTGTGGCTTGGCTTAAAACAAACCAGGAAAGTGTCTGTTTAAAGGAGGGCGTGACTTGAAGATACAGATTTGCAGTTCTCTTCCCCACCTCTCAGAGTCCACCTTTCGTATCTTTCACAAGGTCCCGGATTCACTGATCCAGCTGGTGAAGAGACCAATGAGCATCAGAGCTCTGCCTCTCTCTACCTCCCCAACTTTGGCTTCTTACATGGGTGCTGGAGATCAGATTTTAAGTCCTTATTTTTGCAAAGCAGACACGTTTTTTGGCAAAGATAAAAGGTAATCTTAAAGAAAAATACTTTCAATTTTTAATCATGTAACAAAGAGCTGGCCAACCCTAATATAGAGTTCTTTTTAGAAATTAGGAGAAAAGAACCAACACCTAACCCTGAAGAAAGGTGGGGTTCACTTAGGACTCAGAATGCCTTTAGGCCTTTGGGAAGACTCTCAGTCCTAAGAGCGCATTCCTCAGAATCCCCACCATGAAGGGAGATACATGGCCAGATACATTTGTATGTTTACATTTAAATTAATGAGGAAAACCAAGAATGTAACCAAAACAGCTATGAAAGGAGAGGCTGAGGAGTGGAAGTGGTAGTCCCTGAGTGGGCTTTGTGTTTTTGGCTTTGCAACGAAAGTAAGTGCCTCCCAAACACGAAAATGAAGAGAAAGCAGCAATTCCTAAAACCTGAAAACAGAATGAAACACATGAGCTCCTATGCCTCACTGAGGACATGAGCACACAGCAGAAGTTACTGCTGACCATTTGAAATGTAGTCACTGTTTTAAAAGCTTTATTTACTACTTACGTACACCTGGGAGTGCCTCTGAGTTTATTTGTGTGAGGCGCTGGATGCCTTCAGAGGTCAGAGGACATCAGGTCTCCTGAAAAGGCATTTGCAGGAGGTTTTAAGCTACCTGATGTGAGTGCCCGAAACTGCAGCTAGTTCCTCTGTGAGAGTAGTAAGCACCCTTAGCCACTGAGCCGTGTCTCCAGCCCAAACCGTAGCGGGTGGGGCCTATGAAGAACTAAAAACGTACTGACCCTGCATTAGCAATCATGTTCACACTGTCATTTGTTCTGGCCAAGTGGCCTGGAGGTTGGTCCTCCTTCCTCGTTCCATGTTCCTGTGCTTTGCCAGCCCTGGTCCAGGCTGACGGCTGAGTTGGCAGGATAAGCACTAGGGAGCAGAGCACACTTTATTCCTCATCACGCTACATAGCTGTCCCACCTGCTCCCTCGCTGCTGCCCATAGACTTCTCCTGGTGGCAAGTGTGTTATCAGGACTCTCACTGGGCGTGATTAGCTTCTTCTGCTAGAGGTCTTCACTCTGCCTGGGTTGTAATTTTCCCAGACCGTGTTGGAGTAAGTTTAAAAAGCAGAGGCCTTGGAGATATGAACAGATTGTAAAGTGCACAGCTGTGCTTCCGTGTGCTGGAGATCATGTGTGTACACACACACACACACACACACACACATTTATGTGCACACACACATTTGTGTGTGATAGCAATATTGATGCAACTTCGTTTTTCTCAGTAGTTAATTTTAATAAGTCATCTATGTCTAAAGCATGCAGATAAGTCTTACACTGAAAATTCTGACCTAAGACTCTTTCACTTAGTAAACTCAACCTGTACTTAGCCTGGTCCCCCTAGTTACTGTGAGACTCACGGGGAATTGCTTGGTGAGAAATGTGACTCATACAATGCCAGGATCTTTTGAGCTAGTTTTTTGTTCATTTATTTCTTTGGGTCTCTTGTTGTATTGTCATTGTTGTTTTCCAAGGCAGGGTCCTGCTATGCAGTCCAGGCTGGCCTGAAACCCGGGAACCTCCGACATTAGCCTCTCAGGTGCTGGCATTTCCACCAATGGGCCTGACTTTATGTCTGTGTGGCTGTGTGTGTGAGAGGGAGAGATAGAGACAGCGATTGCATATGGACTTAAGATTTTCTTTTCTAAATGTTATGTGTCTTGAGTTTTTGCCTACATGTATGTCTGTTCGCCTAATGAATGGCATAGCCTTGGATGCCAGAAGAGGATGCCAGATCCTCCGGAACTGGGGTTGCAGACAGGTTGCGAGCCAGCATGTCAGTGCCAGGAGCCAAAACTGGGTCCTCTGGAGAGCAATCAGTGCTTGTAATTGCTGAGCCAGCTCTCCAGGTCCCAAACTCTATATTTTGAAAATACTGTACTTAATGTTTATACCAATAGCTATTAAAAGTGTGTTGAGTCTGCCAGCTATTGTAGATAGTTGAGCTTTTGGTTTTCTGCGGTAATGTTAATGAAAGCACAGCTGCCGGGAGACCGATGAGGGTCTCTGCAGTGATGGAGCACTGTAGCCAGTGCCGCTGGGTGAACGCCCTGCAGTCTGTTTGCTTTGCTTCTCTGGGGAGCCCGTGTCCCACATGAATGTGGATGCACCATCCCACCTCCACCTGAGTGCTAAGCAGCCCATTCTCACAGAACATGGAGCTGATTGTCTGCAGTTCAGTCAGGAGCCCACATTGGAAGGACGATGTATAGGTGTCAAGCAGATTAGGATTTATCTAGAAGTTGCCCAAAGGATGCCCACTTAACTCTCATTGGAATGATAGGCTAAGTCCTCAGTCAGGATTGAATTAAGTAAAAGGTTGGTTTCATTCACATCCTGATTGTGAGCTGACCATTTTTACAGTGTTAGTACCATGGACTTGTGACTACTGCTGTTTCTACATCTGGCTTCTGCTCTGTATCTCAGGCCTGTCTGGCCAATGGTCTCCTTGGCATGTCTACCTTGTTATTTCACCTCCATACAGAATTCTGCATCTCCCTGTCGTCCCTATCTCAGTAAATGAAGTGTCCATCCATATCATGTTCCTGTTACTCAAGCGAAGGAGGTGGCATTGACCTCCTTTCCTTGTGAGTGCCTCACTGTAACTCAGTGTGCCTCACTTGCATTCACCTCTCCGTCTTCCCTGTGCATGTCCCAGTCTACATCACCACCCCCCCCCCATGACTGGGACTCTGGAATTGTCTCCACATTCCTGTGCCCTCCCCGCCATTTACTCTCTGTGCAGCTTGTTAAGTCTTGATCAGACCATAACCCTTGTCATCCCCTGACTTTAAGGGCAAATTCCAAGCATCTTTCCAGGAACTATACGTAAAGCCCGAATGATCTGGCCCACCTGCTACCCTCACCCTCCTTTGTTGATTCTGCTGGCATTTGACCTCTCCCAATTATGTTTTGCCGTAAGGCATGAGCTATTTGAGTTCCTCTTATTAGGTAAAATACTATGGCTATAGTTCTGAACTTTGTGTGTAGCTTAGAGACTCTTACAGTCACTCATGCCTATGTGCCCCAGTGTTTATGTGTACACTGGACATTTCTGACTGTTTCTGCTTCTTAGAGGACAAGAAGATATCATTGTGATGTAATGATTACTCTTTTTTTCCAGCTGGCCAAAGTGAGGGAGAAACTGAAGGACAGCCTCACCCTCACAGCCAAATTTGATGAGGTCTATGGGAAGCTGCACATTAATGGCCAGGTCACCGATTGCACTTTGGATGCTATGCTCTGCCACGTGCCCCGGGACAAGAAACCCAATGCACTGCTGTTGAAGAAGAGGACTGTCAGCCAACGGACCTTACAACCTCTCAGCCAGTCCCTGCTGACTGAGTAACTGTGTTTCCAACCTCAAGGTCTGCAGGCGCTGCTTCGGTGAATCGTTGGCTTCTCCAAGATGCCAGGCATCTCACCTCAGAGGCACCGTGCTAATGCCTGGTCTCCTACGTCCCGAGTTCCCCGAGTGGGGACTTGCTGATCAGAGAGATGTGAAGAGCTAGCTCAAGCAGGAAGCATCGTTACCACAGAAAGGCAGCTTCCCCTGTGTCAGCCGCTCCAGAGTAAGGGCCACGCCATTAGTGCAGCCAGCACCAGAGGGAAACTCGGGAAGTACCTGCAGAAGGAATTTCCCGTAGCCTGCTCGACCTTGACTGACCTTTCACAGAGAAATCCCTTGCAAGTGATAGCCTGGCTGAAGTCGAGAGATCTGCAACCCTCTTCTACTGTGGTGGGAATGGCCAAGGCCTTCTCTCATCTGCCATCATTTTTCCATCTACAAAACAGTATTGCCCGTGTGTACTTGGACATTCTCATTCACGGTTCAGTAGCGTTAATCTTTCTCCAAAATAAGAAATAAAAGATACCTGAACAGACTTGAGATTGTGTTTTTCCTTTCTCCAAATGAGAAAAAAGTTACTTTAGCTTTCAGAATTGGTAAGTATGCTAAGTTTAAGTGATTATTGCCTTTGTCATTGGCAAGCCATGAGTGCTGATTAAAACTATGGGATGCTTAGTTTTCTGTGGTAATTTCTATTTAATATCATAAATACTTGATCCCTCGTATCACCATGTTTGATATGTACTTGCTCTTTGCGCACATTATTTTGTTACTTTGATTTTACCATTATTATAAAACTTTCTTGATAGCAGGCCATTTCCGTGACAATTTGAGATGAAGTATTGGATGAATTATACACATGTGATCATTTACAAAAGATAGCCAGGAGCCATCTCACGTGTTCATGTTTCTTTTTGAGTAACTCTTTTTTTTTTTATTTTAATTTTAAATAGCTTGTTTTACATGTCAATCCCATTTCCCTCTCCCTCCCCTCCTCCCGCACCCCCCACCCCCCCATCTTCCTACCCTATTGCCAATTCCTTCCGCATAGGGTTTATCTAGAGTCTATCATTTCATTCAGGGTAGGGTCCAGGCACTTCCCTAAGAGTCCCGGCAGAGAGAGCAACCCTCTTTGTGTTATGGACACACGATGTCTGTTAGTATTCGAGGGATAAGCACTGATCCACTGCCATTTTTCTGAAGGGCCCCGCCAGGTGTTGAACAACTCAGCAGCAGAGGCCAAGTGTGCTTTAGACCATTTCCTCTCAGGCAAGAATTGTCTGTAGAGTCAGAGGAGTCTCCCCCCGTCTCCTAATCCCTCATCTTTCAGGTTGAGGAAATGTCTTATCTAAACTGGCAGAGCTAATTAGGGTGGGACACTAGATTCCTGGTCTGGTATCCTTCCCACAGTGCCATATTATATCTCTTCTGAGGCTAAAACAGTTCCTCCTAAGATCTTTCCAGACCATTAAGGACTCCCGTGGCTTCCTACGTGGCTTCAGGTTGTCAGGTTTGCTCATTGGGTAAGTGGGGCTCTTAGTTCACTGACTTAGAGTAATTGTGAACTCACCCAGAGCGTAAAGCAGGCAGCTGTGCCTGGCATGGTAAGTGCTGTCTCCTCGTCTCTGGTTACCACCTTAGTGGGTGGCAGAGCATTCCCACCTCGTTGAGGGGTACGTGAACAAATGGGGCCTTCCTCCTGTCCTGACAGTACTCAGAAGTCCATCTCACAGAGTTCAAAAGGATTTGTTCAATGAAGTGTTAGACATCCTTGTTTAAAGACAAAACCCCACAAGTTCTGTCTTTTTTTTTTTTTTTTTTTTTTTTTGGTTTTCAAGACAGGGTTTCTCTGTATTGTTTTGGAGGCTGTCCTGGAACTAGCTCTTGTAGTCCAGGCTGGTCTCGAACTTACAGAGATCCGCCTGCCTCTGCCTCCCGAGTGCTGGGATTAAAGGCGTGCGCCACCAACGCCCGGCACAAATTCTGTCTTGATAGAAGAAAATGGAGCCAGGCATTGTGGCGCACGCCTTTAATCCCAGCACTCGGGAGGCAGAGGCAGGCGGATCTCTGAGTTCAAGGCCAGCCTGGTCTATAGAGCCAGTTCCAGGACAGCCTTCAAAGCTGCAGAGAAACCCTGTCATGAAAAAGAAAGGCCAGAAGGAGGGAGAGACAGAGACAGAAGGAGGGAGGTGTTATGGTGGAAGCTTCACCCCAGCCCCAGGCATCCATGTACCCAAAGAGTCTGGGATGCTATGGTAGAAGTCCCAGCCCCCTCCCCTATGGCCCTCCAAACCCTGCTGCATTTCAGCCTGCCAAATGAAGACTCAAGACCACTCCCACAGGATATTTAAACTGTCTCCCTTTGTCTCTGGGTGTTGTATCCATGAACGTGGCCTTTTCCTAATTCGGTTTGATTTGGTCTGATTTGGATTGCTGCATCGGTGGAGAGGCTTATGGGGGCATAGAAACTTTTCAGGAGGGAGGGAAATATTGGCTTACTGGCATTTGTGTGTGTGGTGTTTTGTAAACAACAAAGCTTTACAGTCTTGGCCCTTAGAACCTGTCCCCCAGCTTAACCTTGTGTCTTTTCTTGCTGAGCATTTAAATGGCTGTAATGTCTTAAACAAATGCAGTGATGATTGCTAGGTCACAGTCGTTCCTTAGCAAAAAGAAGGAGGAGGAAGAGGAGGAGAAATAAACAAAAAGAACTCTGCGGACAGTAGCAACCCTTCCTAACATGGTCCCTGAGAGGAGGGCGGCTGATGATAAACAGCTGTCAGCCATGGTTTAAAGTCTTAGTGCTGAGGTCACGAAGTGTTACAGGTGGGCACTTCCTTAAAATGTGCTAATTAACCCTTTGGTAGTATTTATCCCTGGCATAGAAATGGACTTTGGCTGTGGGGAACTGGGGGAGCTGGTGTGGAGGGCCGGGGAGGAGGGGAGGGAGAGGAAGCTGGGATTGACATGTGAAACAAGCTTGTTTCTAACTTAAATTTTAAAAAAGGAAGAAAAATGTGCTAATTAAAAGAAAAAAATTAAAGAGGATTGTTTCTTTGAGCTATGGCAGAGGTTCTCAACCTGTGGGTCACTACCCCTTTGGGGTCAAACAGCCCTTTCACAGGGGTCACAGTAGATATCTTGCATATCAGATATTAAACTGATTCATAAGAGTAGCAAAATTACAGTTATGAAGTAGCAACAAGTCATTTTATGGTTGGGGATTGCCACCGTATAGGAACTGGCATTAGGAGGGTCAAGAACCACTGTTCTATAGGCACTTGGGTGATGGAATTCAACAGAGGCAGGGCCTGTCATGGCAGAGTTGATTAAAGAAAGAAATGGCCACCATACAGCAAGATGTGTGTCTCACTGAACCCTGGATGGAACTCTCTGGGGTAGCTATCACCCCCACTACCTGGGAGAAACTGAAGTTCATAGATTTGATGTCATAGGGCGGAAGACAACAGCTTTTAAAAGCAGACAGTTGGGTAACATGTTTTTAATTACATGTCTGTACTGCGTAGCGCGCGCGCGCGCGCGCGTGTGTGTGTGTGTGTGTGTGTGTGTGTGGTGAGTGACTTTTATTGTGTGTGTGTGTGTGTGTGTGTGTGGTGAGTGACTTTTATTTATGCTGTTCTTTTCCAACCTACAAAACTTAGAAAAGACAGCAGAGGGCGCCCCAAGTCTCTGCTTTGGGTTGGGGGTGCCAGTTTTCAAAAATATCTTCCATTTCTGGAACTCAAAGAGAATAGATTCACACTGCAGGCTACACAGGTAAGGTATCCATGTGTCTTGGATGGATGCAGAATGTTGTTTTCACTTAGATTAAGAGTTGTCTAATGTGGCAAGGGTGTTTTTGGAAAAGAGAAATCATTGGAGTTGGTCCTTCTCAGAAAATACATGAATGCAAGTGAGAGCCTTCGTACACACTGGAAAACACTAGATGATTCACTGGAACACTCACCTTTGGAATATTCCATATTTTAGGGGAGGAAAAGCATAGCATCCTGGAATATTAGTTCAGCGAAGAATTGTTCAGCAGTCACATTTTGATTCCACGAATTGAACTCGTGTACTAAGTCTTCAGAGTACTAATATTAATGAGATTCAAATGAAGAGCTCCCCTACCAGAGACCGGAACACCAGGGAGGAGCAGAAGAATGAAGGCGGTTGCTCAAGAGGACTTACCGAGAAATCAATAAGTGATTCTCAACATCCTCCAGGGCACCAGAAGGAGGCTGTGAAGCTGAACACAGAGCAGTCTCCGAAGAACAGCTTTAAGGCTGTGACCATCTCAGGACGAGAGCTGTGGCGGACAATCTCTGCACACACCGTCAGTACTGGCATTCAGATTGGGGTGGGGGGGGGAGGCTTCACCATTTCCTTGAGCCTAGTCAGAAAGGCTCTGCCATTTCCCATGTGTCTGAGGCTTTGGTCCTCAACATGGCTATACCCATGTCAACAATACACATTCACTCAGGACTTTACTCACTCAAGGCCTCCAACGTTGCCCACAATCGCACATATATGTATTTAAAACCACATGATGGCCAACTGTCCCAATTCCTATAGAAATCTGAAGTTAAATTAAATCTGAAGGCCAGAATTATTTCTCTACATATGATGTTAAGCAGGCTTTTCATAGGCTTTTGTATTTAGGGCTTGAGGTAGAGAAAAGTCTACTGCACTGTGCAGAGAGGTGACTCTTTAGACCCATGGCCTCTTGTCACAATCTGTAACAGGAAGCTTCTACAAGATCTGTGTTCTTGGCATGTGGGGCAGGAGGGGGTCTTTTATAGCTCTCTCTGAACTCAAGGTCCTCCTGCCTTCGTCTGTCACTGCCAGGACCGTAAGTATGTGCCACCATGCTTGACCAGGGTCTTTCTTGACAAATTGACAAGTTAAAATCAGTAACCTCATTGGGTGGATAGCAGCTCTGGGCTACCATACCTCATCATGCCCTGAATCATGTTGTGATGCTTGACCCCTAGCTTATAGCATGACTTTGAAGGCTGTAGAACCTGGAGAAGGTGTGACCTGTCTGACAGTAGGTCATTGGGGCCAAGCCCTGGTTCCCATTGTAGTGACCAGTCCCCCATTTTAGCAGCCATTACAGGCTAACATGTGCTTGCATGACCTTGTCGCTCCTGTCCTGGTCACTAAGGTCAGATGACCTCCTCGTGGCAAGGAGCCAATCAGAAGTTAGCTGGCAGGGCTGTGCTTTACAGCTCTGGGTGTGTTTTACGGACAGTGCACAACAGTGACATGCAGAACACAGCAACCACCCTGGGAGGGCCTATAGGCCATAACCAGTTGACCAATCAACACAGGGCGGATCGTCCAAACCTGGAAAGGCACCAATCCTGAGACTGTTTCATACCCCTAGACACTCCCCTTACGCTGCCCTTTAAGATCCCTGCCTCGAAGTTGCTTGGGGTCTTTCTCAAGCCATTCGCCATGGTGGCAGGGTGAAGGGCCCGAGCTAATGGGGTTAGCTCGTTAGACATCTACAATAAAAGACTCTTTGCTTTTACA